TCAACTATTGTATGCAGTATGTTCGGGTAATTAATTAAAAAAAAACATGAGTTGTCTACAAATGCCTTTGGTATGCACAAACGACCCAAAATATGAAAATAACTTGAATAACGTTCAGCCTCCCCGTTCCTTGCAAGCGGTTGAGGGAGCAGGATGGTGATGGGGGGGGGGAGAGAATGGAGAACGGTGGCAGGGGGGGGGCAAGACAGGCTGAGATAGCAGTCACCACAGGCCAGGCATCGAACGCGGGTAAGAGCCGGGTTCATAGCACGGTGTGCTAACCACTACACCACCGCTCCACCCCAACAACCTTGTGTATACATCATCTATAATATATCAAAACACATGCTTTTGTGTGTTAGCCTCATACTGATTAACCGACGTGCAAATTGATGCAGCGGAAAAGGTATTAACCCTCATCATTCATGTTCAATCAACTGCTGGATGAAGGCCTCCCCCAAGCGTGGGGAGGTGTGTGGACTTGGGAGCATGGGGCAACCCTTCGAGGTTGCGACTAGTCGTATTCGCCGGTCACGCACGGCATGCCTCCCCTCTACAGCATCAGCCTTCGGCTTTTATCATTCCCAGTTTTCTCCGTCAGTGACAGCTGCATAATGGTCGGGCACTCTGCCCTCTCCAAGTCCCTCCCCTTCACTCCATCCCCTCCCTCCCACTCCCTTCCCCCCCCCCCCCCCCACAAGCCCCTCCACCCCCATCCCCAACAGCCCCGCATTGCCCTCGGGCCAATAACCTTCAGAACGTCACGAGGCGTCCCAAAACCACGACCCCCACCCCCCACTAAAGCCACCCCCTGCTCCCCCCAACGTCAATGTTCTCTCGCCAAGTGACATCTTTTCGCTTTTTTGCCCTTGGCCGCTTGGAGAACAAACAAACAAACAACAACAACAACAAAAAAGCCACGTGGCCGCGTGGACACGGGACGAGGCTGGCTTGAGCAGCGAGAGCTACAGACCTGGCGGGGAGTAACAATCCGCAACAAAAAATCTGCATTGGCAGCTTTCGCAAGATTACGTCTCACGCGGCACCACCACCCCTCCACCCCACCACGACAAAGCTCTGGACGACTCTTCCGCCACGGTGTGCCCGGCCGGAGGCTGCCCGGGTATCTTGACATCTCTCTCTCTGGCGTGCCAGTGTGTGTAGTGTCACGTTGTAGTTACGGCGAGTACGTACAGAGAGGCAGACGGGATACAACGTGCTCGGCCCCGTTTCATCCACACGCACGCACGGCTATACTGCCGCCCAGCGGTCTGTGGATCAGACCTCCCCCCCCCGTGATTGCTCACTGCGCTAGTTGGTAAATGCGCTGCTGCTGCAGCGGATGCCTTTTGGCAGTGGCGCACCACAAGCACAATTAGCTAAAAAACAAACTAGCTCAAACATAATCGTCAATAACACCGTGGGCCTTAATACGAAACGAATATAACAGGCGACGTTTTGGGGCAATGGCCCTTCTTCATAGCGCGTCAATTCGAGGCGCTGGAGAGATTGAATGGATAAGCGTTGGAGACTGAACTTTGTACACACGAGGGGGTGGTTGGCCAGCAACCACGCCCGGCCGCCTTTGTCTCCCCAGTGGCGATGTTTGCTACACCGCACCAGGTACTCATTTGATGCCGCGCCCGATGATTGTTAAACACGGCCCAAGCGTCGCGCTCCTCAGCAATTAGCCGCCGTCTCCGTGGCGTGGTACACGCACAGAGACCTCGATCTTATCTTCAATCTGCAATCTCTCCCTACTATTGTTGAGACACGATTACCTATTACCTACTATGGAGACATTGTTACCTCCTATATTTTAAAGCAAAAGTTGGGGGCGCGTCTAACGATTTGGTAGCTGTGTGTGAGAGACCAGATTTGGATCATTGCTGTAATAGCTGACCCAGCGTTCTTGAATACACGATCCGGTATTACTTTTAAATTTCAGGTAAACTGATTTGGCTATTTTTTTCTCTTGTTTCTCTTCCACAATGAATTCCAACCGTGCTATCGGCGGCGTCATGAGATCGAATCTCACAGACCCGCTCGCCTCATCGTTGTCAGAACGTTGACCCGTGCAAGAGGTTTGATTTTCACTGAACTTCTCCCCAAAAAAATCTCCTTCAAGGGGGGCCCTAAATCCTCTCTTACACAGTACTGAGCGTACATTCGCGTGCACTCTGCGATTAGACTGTCACGTGGCAGTCAACGCGATCCTATACATCGTCAGAGCTGGAATTTAAGCGCAAATCGCAAATACATTGAACGATACGATTATTCATTTGTTTTCAATTGCCCGGCTGAGACCATTCATTCCATACATCGAGAGACACTGGTTTAATTAATTAGAAGCCGTGCGGAATGTTTCCTCTCGTGAGCTAATAACGCCGATGTATAAAGTGATAACACTATGAGTTTCGATTTAATTCATTTTATTCATTCAGACTCTGTCTTCCCGACAGACCTGTTCTTCACCTGAAGACGGCTGCTTGCGTTGTGGCCGAAACGTCGTGAGAATAATTTTATTATGTTTTATTTTTATTATTTTATTATTTCCCTTCTACGTGACTTTTCCGAAAGAACCAAGAAGACTATGAGTTTCCTCTCGTGAGCTAATAACGCCGATGTATAAAGTGATGGTATTCTTAAGTTTTTTCGGTAAAGTCACGTAGGTAAAAAATTTAAATTCATAAAAGTAAAATAAAATAAAAATCACGACGTTTCGAAGGCAACACAAGCTTCCGTCTTCAGGTGGAACTGTCACAGCACGATATTCGTGCTGTGACAGTTCCAACCTGAAGACGGAAGCTTGTGTTGCTTTTATTAATTTTAAATTTGTGACTTTACCGAAAAAACCTAAGAATATGAATCCTTGCAGTCACGAAAGCTTCAAATCTAAAGTGATGGTACTATGAGTTTCCTCTCGTGAGCTAATGACGCCGATGTATAAACTAACAATACTACGAGTTTCCTCTCGTCTCTAACGCACATTGATTGACTGCCGTAATGCCCCAACCCGCATGCGCGAGTGGATTGCAGCCCCCCTCGCCATCTACCAAGATCTGTCCGCTGCTGGATGAAGGCCTCTCCAAGCCATCGTCACAGTTCGGCAACACAACGATGCGACTCGCGTCTGGTCACGAGTCGACTTTATCACTGTCTGGCTACGATCGACGTCTTATCAGGCGTGTTCCATTCCCTCCTTTGTTAGTCTTGACTACCGATCAACATCTCTTCGTGGTAGCGAGATGTTAACTACCTCGCCTGGTGTACAGGAGGTCGTGGGTTCGATCCCGACCGTGACGCCTGCTGCTGTATATTCGGAGTTTGCGTGTCTCTCTCCGTGACCGTGTGGATTTTTCTCCGGGCCCTCTGGGTTTTCCCTCAGCATTTAGAAACACGCGTTTAGAGGATTTGGCTGCTATCATTTTCCACACGATAAGCCACTTCGTTGAGCTATGATTTGTGGCCAGGTGGCTTCTGAAAAATAGCTATAATCTCAGTGGGCCTTACCCGGTAAAATTAAGTTAAATTTTTAGTTGTATTGCGACATTAAATGTCTCTACATATGCATGTGGTCTCTGAACCATGTTCTTCTATTTTTCATATACAGTTTCTTAACCGTTACAATCTGCCTCTATACATACATGCACTCACGAGACGTATGCATGCATACAGATTGGGAATATCGGTGGTGCGGTGGTTTGTGCGCCGTGCTATGAGCGAGTGATAACTCTTGAACCCCTTCGAACCTGCACCGATCAGCGTGGTGAAGGCTGCTCAAATAACCCCAAGGGCGCGAGGCAATACCTTCGGCAGTGATCGAACAAAGGGCTGTAAACTTTACATCTTCCTGACCGACAGCCCGCACGTGCTTTGGACGCGACTTTCGGTCCCTTCCTTACAACCAGCCAGCCAGCAGGGAAAAGTGTTTCTAATACAGCATGACTTACACAGCCCGGAAGCATTCCGTGTATTTTAACGAATCCGTACGTGCTCGTTATAGTGGGCTTCTTCAGATCTCAAATCAACAAGGTGTAGCTGGGTTGATTGCAAGACTAGGCCAGTATGTACCTACGCCATCGCACACGTATGAAGCCCCGTTTGTCAATCCGCTACTGGACGTGTAAGTTGGCGCGGGTTCGTGAAAACCATCGGGCACAGAGGGGTTGGAAGCATAGAAGTACAGGACAATTAATTTCGCTGTACTGCCACCTACTGCCCATCAAGTCGCTCTGCAACACTACAACAAGCTGTACACGGTGGTCACACAAAGACAAAGGTATAGCCTCAACAGACTGTTGGGGCAAGTGCTGTTAGCGAGCACCTATGAAGGCTGGCACGGCACACGAGTGGTTGGCCAGCAACCAGGCCCGGCCGCCTTTGTCTCCCCAGTGGCGATGTTTACACACCACACACCAGGTACTCATTTGAGGCCGAGTCAACCTAGGGCATGCCCAGGACCGATTCAGATAATCGTCACCGGTGTTGGCCGTGAGCGGGAATCGAACTCGGGTGGACCGGGTTCGTTACGCGGCGTGCTAACTGCTGCACCACCGCTCATCACACACACAAACACACAAACACATTATCCAGGCTAAGCCACAACTTTGGCTCTGAGACTTGATGCGGACGGAGAGAAATTCCGGTGTGATTTAGACACTCGCCCACCATTGCATGCAAAGGTACAGGCCATGGCCAAGCAATACACAAACACACACCTTACACGCGCGAAAGTTATACATTCAATAAGGACATTTTATTACTTTGTAAAGATTCAATACACAAAACATTTCATTTACTTGTTTCTTTTATGAAGGACTATGTACACACCCCCTACCCTCCCCCACCGCGGTTATTCTGAATATACGAATGACATATAAAAAAAAGTCTGTACACACGAAACAAAGTGAAATAACATAAGTCAAATACGAAACACGTGGGTGGGGGGGGGAGTTCCAAAGGGAGAGGAGAGGGAGGGGGGTTTGTGTTTTTTTAAAAAAGCTTAGCTAAATTGCACAAGCGCGTGTAGGTCTACTGAACGATTACAAAAAAAATACTGTCAAGTGACCTCACCGTTTCTGTTGTTTTTTTGGTTACAAATAAAAGGTTGGAAGAAACAAAAGAATAATAACAATATTTGTTTGGAACCCACCAAGAAGCCCACGACGATATGGTAATAAATAGGTGAAAGCGAAACAGAAACATGCATAGCTTAGAAGAGATTTGCACAAATTATAAACGATTACGTCTAACTCTCTACACGCTGTTCCATTTTTGATTATTTTATACTGCAAACGAACAAACGAAGCACAGCATATCTCTTTAACGTAAAAAAACAACGACAACATTGTATCATACCAAAGGGTGTTCATGTTTTTTTTTACTGCGATTTAATATTACTATGCACAATTAAATACAATCGTTTATGAATGGCATTTTGTTTCTTAAAAATACAAAGGAGCCCACGGGGGGGGAAGTGGTTCTTGGCTGTGGCTAATGGAGGAGATGCAACATTTTTGTTGCCCAAGGCAGCTATTAATGCTGCTCTGTTGGCTCAGGGTAAGCAACGACAACAGCTGCTTGCCCCCTCGCCCGCCCGCCCTCCCACTGGAGAACGTGAAGCATTCCTCGGCACGGCGGTCAGTTAGGAGGACGCCGAAGAGAAACACCACACGGCCTTGCCGCCCCGTGCCTAAGCCCTTGCCTGACGGCGAGTGCACGTGGACTGGCACCGCGTGCACGTGGACTGGCACCGCGTGCACGTGGGCTGGCACCGCGTGCACGTGGACTGGCACCGCGTGCACGAGGGCTGGCACCGCGTGCACGAGGGCTGGCACCGCGTGCACACGGGCTGGCACGGCGTGCACGTGGGCTGGCACCGCGTGCACGTGGACTGGCACCCCGTGCACGTGGACTGGCACCGCGTGCACGCGGATTGGCACGGCGAGATTAAATCTCCACACCGGACCGGACCCGGCGGGACCATCTGCGATGGCGATATCCAATTGTGCCCCAGCTCTCTCGAGGATGCCGGTTATCCAGGGATGGTGGGGTGCAGAGGTCGCAACCGGGTACCCGATACCCGTACCCTACCCGATACCCGGCTACCCGTACCCGGCCGGGTACAGGTAGCCGTTTGCGACCCTGGTACGGCCGGGTACGGGTACGGGTAGGCCGTGAGTCACTGGTGAGTCACCGTTTGTTACTCATTTCGGGTAGGGTACGGGTAGGGAACGGTTACCCGTACCCGGCCGGGTACGGGTACCCATTTGCGACCCTGGTGCGGCCGGGTACGGGTAAGGAATCAAAACCCGTTTGCGACCTCTGGGGGGATGTTACCGCGTGTCGTGCCGGCAGAACGTCCCGACGTTTACGCCGCACGCGCGTTGCGTCGGTTCTTTAAAAAAACACACTTCCCCAGCACGCGCAGCGAAACGTCGGACATCGCGCCGTGACAGCCCCCCGGAGACTTGTTGGAAAGCTGCGCAGCGCGACCGATTAGAAACCCACGTCCCTCGGGGCGTTCCTCTCTTTGCTGCGCGTCAAATTTTACGCAACTGCCGCTCTCTCTCTCTCTGCTCTGTTAGTAACCCCGGCGTCTCTCGCTGCTCATTCCTGCCGACTTGTTTAAAATAAAATCTGTCATTTCCCCACCCCCCCTCCCCCCCATCTCAGCTGAAGGCTATTTAAGGGAGGTAGTGGGGGGTTGCGCCGCACGTCTTGAGTGTTTGGACAGAGGAGCGGATTGTACTTGAGCGAGCCCCTCATTAGCCATCGATTGTCTGTGCCTTTACGAGCCGGTGCGCCAAGCGATTAATAGCTCATTCCTTGACTTCATTGTTGGTTGTTTGCCTGAACATTTTGGCGTTGCGAATGTCGCGTTCGTTTTGTCGTCCAACGGGCAACGAACGTGAAGCTGCCCCAAAAACTAAAAAAACAAAAAGCGATAAAGTCCTCGGTAGATGAAGGGAGCAAGTAACATCAGACACGAAAGGAGGAAGAGCTCATCACGTGATGATGTTGTTGCTTGCCTCACTCTATTAATATAATTCACAATTGCCGGCTGTCTGCGGCGACAGGCGAAATGTTTACAGCACCAAGCACATTAAATAATTGAATAGATTGGGTTTACAAAATGAATACTCGTAACATATTTCTCAACAACTTATGGATGGTGTCATGGTTAGTAACAATGAATGCCTTGTTAATTGCGCAATTATATATATATTTTTAGGCAGCGTTATAATAGCGGTAAGTTTCATCGTACCCAGCAAGGGTCGGACACTAATGCATCGATTCATTGTCCATCTCGTGATAGGCACATTTAATGCTCAGAAAATGTTTAAATGTGTACAATTGTAATCACGTGGTATGCAATGGGTTCAAGTCACCCGTATAGCCACAAGAGGCGATACCATTCACCACATGTTCGGATTCAGTTCTTGCATTCAATGATGAATTGTCCTTGAATCGTGTCAATTAATCGCTTAGTTCAAACCCAATATATAACCGTGGGTCTGTTTGATTATCTGAGGTCGATGTTTTAAAAAAATGGCCTTGTTCTCAAATTTAAAATGTTAACCTTAAAAATGACTTCTTAGTGAAGTCATATCTAACACTGAAGACATACCACCGTTACTGCACTTGATTTAAACATGGCCAGGATAAAAGTTCAGAGATGATTACATTGAAATTCATTCAGAAGGTAAAACCTCGTTTGGTTCCCAACAGCACTGCATTTTGCAGGTAACCGACCTGCCATGCCCAATGATAAATATTGGTAAAATTGTCTCCAGCTTTTCTCATCATTACATACACATATATATTTACTTTTGTTTAACATTTTGTCTATGGCAATAGCATTGGCAATTATAGCACATTTTATTAATCTCAGAGAATAAGTGCTAAGTGGATTGATGGATGCATCACTGAGGTACATAGTACGAGTACATGGACATTTGTGGTCCCACAAAGCTTTGGTAATTGTTTTGAACATTTTAAAATATATATGCTGTACACAATATACACAAACACTTAAAATACAACTTTGTTTAACCCGACGATGATTGACAAAAGGGAGACTAAGCTCTACTGATGAATCGTGTAACCTGTGTTGCTTACTTAAGACAGTAAGTCCTCCATTTACGTTGGGGGGATGTGTCCCTGGAACACATCGAAAATCTAAACCGAACTTACCATTGACTTAATGTTTATACACATTTACGATACGTTCCTTTGGGGGGGGGGTGTCATGTTTTGGTTCAGAATTTTCAGAAAAATATGAAGTATCAAAAAAATAGCAAAAGATTCCCCCGAAAAGAAATTATATGACAAGTTTAAATATGTAATTTTAGAGAGGGCGGCGGAGGTTGCATTTAGATGGAGTAGTAGAGTCACTGGAGCTATGCATTTTTAGATCCAGATTGAGAAACTCATTTCTTTTAGAACTGCTTCTTGTGTTTAAGTTTGTTGCCCTTCCCCCGCACCTCCGATAAGCACGGTTGGCTACGTACGGTGCGAAAGAAGTTCAACGTACGCACGTCACAGTATGGCGATGTTGTAAACACCGAGGCTTGGGCGCCCTCATTGGGAGCGCCGTGGCGTAGCGCATCATCGCGTACACCGCCCAGGATACTACTGCTCCCTTTCTCGCGCTTCAAGCGTTCAAAACAACGTTGTCGTGAAACGGATTACGTTCCCTCCATTCGTTGGTGATGTTACGGTGAAACGACGTGAACGGGAGCAGCGTTAATAGAAGACTTCCCATACAAAACGACTGGAACAACGCACTGCGATCCCTTTAAAGCGGCGATTCTTAACCTCTACTGCAGCTTTGCACCCCTTTGGCTCTCAGTCGTAAAAAAAAAAAATTGTTAATAAATACACAGAAGGTTTGATGATACAAAGTAGTTGCACTTACGTGCCCGTGCTTAATTTGCGTTTCGATGATTTACCTTCTAAACAAATCTGCCATGTCTCGCACCCTAAGAAAGGGCATCTCGCACCCCAGGTTAAGAACCACCTGCTTTAAAGCGAAGAGGGTCGCCGCGGCTTTCACGCCGTCAAAAGGTGCCACCGTTCCCAATCCGCGGGGAGCAATGACAGCAACTGGCCAGGGCATTTAAAACGATTCAACTATTTTTTTTTATTTACCAGGTAAGGCCCACTGAGCCGTACAGCTCTTTTTCAGAAGCGATCTGGCCACAAGTGATAGCTCAACGAAGTGGCATAACATGTGGACATTTATAGTCGACAAATACTCTAAACGCACGTTGATTCTCAATGTGGAGGGGAAAAAAAACCAGAGGACCCAGAGAAAAATCCACATGACCACGGGGAGAACACGCAAACTCCAAATATACAGGCATCAGGGTCAGGATTGAACCCACGACCTCCTGTATACTAGGTGGGGTAGTTAACATTTCACCACCGTGGTGCCCCAATAGAACCCCCCCCCCCACCCCTCATGGAACTTCATGTTAGAAGTTCAATACACGCAGTTCATATTGCAATCGAATTCAAGCCAATGTTCATCAAGGTTGTTAGCGGTGGACTCCGATGTGTACGAGTTTTGTGGCAAAAAAGGTTCTGTCAGACTCCCGACGAAAAAAAATACAAAAGAAGAAAACTTACACGAGTGTAAATATTTAGCTGCCTTACGGTAAATGCACAGGCAGGCGAGAAGATGTGTAAATAATACTGCTAAATGTATACAGGACATTTCATATGTGTCTAACAAATGCATCGACCGACCAACCGCCCTTGACTGCTATCGCAGGTCACGAATATTATCGGAGACACATACGCAGCACGACAGCAAAAAGGAACCTACGCGTTTAAACCATCTTTAATTAGCAGCTGGATGTCGAAGAAAGAGTTGCTGTCCTATGCGTGTGGACCGTGGGAATGACTGAAGCATCAATCATTTTGAAGCTCAGGGCCAGACTGAGCCAAGACATGGAACTTCTCCCAAGCGTCGGCAGAAACAACACTGAACTCGGCACTCATTCGTTAAAGGAGATGTAAGTGGCCTAAAAAAACAAGCAATGGGAACTCACGGGGGGACTAAGAAATATCAATACAATTCATCGAAAAAGACACTCTACAAAAGCCAGTTCATGGGAAGACTTTTTCTTTTGCTTATAAAAAAAAGACCACGCATAAAAGAGCCGGTTTAACGAGAGAGTTAAAACTTGTAGCGAAACAACTTATGATTACGAAAGATGTCGCCCCACAACCGCTTCGGAGGCTGATGCTGCAGCAGCCAAGGCTTCATTTGGCGAGAAGTATCATCCTCGGGATAGGTTTCCTCGCGTTTCATTGCGATACTTTGATACAGAATACAAAACAATTTCATTCACGGAAGCACCCCGTTCTCAGGATTGTAAAAGCTGACGTTGTGCCTGCCCTCAAACTGAGATGGCACGGTTCTCAAAACAACCTTACTGCAATGCTGGGCGGCAAACATACATTGTCGAGCGTAAAGCACCAAAAGGGCAGACTGGCACGGGAAGAAGTTTCAGTGTCCTTTTCAATTCGCTCCTCCAAATGAGAAGCGCCGTGGAAGTTCATCCCAAGCGACGCCGCTCTTCTGCGGCGGAGCCCCGAGGAAGCGGCGAGCACCCAACGCGCAGAGAAGGCATTTTGGCCGCGACAAGGAACTCCTGCCAAGGACAACTTTGGCCTCTCGACGAGGTTTGGTGGGGGCCCTGGCGAGCTGGTGCCGGCCCCTCCCCGGCGGTGGCCCGTCGTCAGATGAGCCTCGAGTTGTTGAGGAACTGGATGAGCGCCTGGTAGACGAACTGGTACTGCGGGAGCGTCTGCACCATGAGCATCCGCTGGCCCCGCAGGACGCCCAGCGCCTGTGGCACGTCCAGCTGCTGAACGGGAGAGGGGGCAGGAAGGCGTCGACGTCACGGGCGGTAACGGCGACGGCGGCAAAGGCTCGGTCACGTGCGCGCACGTTTCGGCGTTTGCTTTGTTGCACGTTGACAAACGCACACTTCGGAAATCCTACTGGAAGATTTGTTTTCTTTTTTGTGAGTGAATGTGAATGCACGCCGATTTCCGTCAAAAGATGCGTAAGTATGGTACGTATATTTTCATAATAAAGGTTTTTGGGTTAGATCGCGTTATTTCTAAATGTGTCGTAACCCTCCACCACCGACACATTTATAAATAACGCGATCCAGCCCAAAAACCTATATTATGAATAATATCGGTCACGAAAGCCTACGTGTTAAACTGTACGTATATAGTTGAACTTCTTTCGCACCGTACGTAGCCAACCGTGCTAATCAGAGGTGCGGTCCCGTGGATAAGATCTAACGTTATTATCAGTACTGATAAGAGACAAAAGGTGGTTGGAAATGGTGCTGGCCTCAGAATCGCCTCGTGTGCCGTGAGGCCCTTCAAAGGTGCTCACTCACCGCTCGGAGTCCCTACGCTAGTGGGGTGAACGAGCCCATTTCCTCCCTCCCTTTCCCCCAACTCGTAAGCACCGTCGCGTTTCGGGTTTCTATCCGAGGAATTCCCGTGCTCCCCATCCCTTTTTTATCGTTCGCGCTTCGTACCGGGCTCTTGTTAAGAATGCAAAAAAAGAGAGAAAAAAAGTGCCCATTAACTGCCCTTGTCCCAGCAACGTTAAGGCTAAAGCGAGGGATCGTTGGGCCTTACTCAGGAAATATATAATTCAGATTTTCTTGCACCTGTGTATAGTTTGATGTTCTAGCCCCCCTACGGGTGTATGTCAGCACCGTCTCTCTGCAACACAACAATCCCACCTCCCCTTCACGACACCGCTACAGGCACGCACCACCAACACCTGTCCGAATTCACACTAAAAACCTGAAAACTTGCAGAAAGATGCAGGCAAAAAAAAACAATCGGTGGCTATTCTGGGTCATTGCCGAAACAACAATCGACCCAAGAACCTATGCAGCGGGGTTAAATCCGCTCCTGCAAATACAAAAAAAACGAACTGCCAATTCACCTGTGAAACCGTGTGTGACCAGCCTCAGTCCAGTGCGCGGTCATCACAGGTCTGAAGTGTACCGACACACAACGACTGATATTGGCTTCGTATAGCCAGCTGCCTCTAAGCACTGCGTGGCATGACACGGACGTGGCGCCGTGCGCTCTACCTCTGATCTGAAGTGCAGGCAGTCAAGGTGGTAGATCTGGTGTTAAGAGAACGGTCTGCGAAAGGCGATACAGAGTTGCTTCTGAAATCCATTCAAGTGATTGTCTTTCATATCCAGACACTAGGGCCGTGCGGCTTCCCACATGGCCCCCTACGAAAATTTTGTATTAATGTGACAGATAAACTGAACATTTTGATTCGCAAACGGCTGAAATGTAGATATTTAAAGCAAAAGTAAAGCAAAGCTAATGGGGATAGCATTTTTTGGAGATGGGGCTCAGATTTTTTCCTTTTGCGTAGTTCTTGGCGACTGGACTGAGACCATCAACTCACTAAACTGGAGGACCCGGTTTAACCTAGAATCGAACCCATGTTCTCAGCGGTACCGGCTACAGCTCGGCATTCTGTCCACTGAGCAGCCCACCCGGCAGCCTTGCCTTGCGTCGTCCTTCGACCATGGCCACTCAGGGCACTGTCTCAAACCGGCGGCACAGAGCCCATCGGCCCCCGCGCAGCGACCGCTGGGGCTGCCATTCTGTCGAGGAGGCTCACGACGTTCGTGGCAGGGGTGAATTTGAATATAGTCCAGTGGCTGTAGAGAGACACATTTTGAATCGGGCACGTCCGTCGTTTCCTTTCAACACTGCCGTAAGGTGTGTGCCGAAAATACAGACGGTACCGCACGGCCTCCAGCTTATTCCGTGAATTACTGTGTTTTTTCTCACACCTCGACTGATAAAAAAAAAATTAAGTAATGACCATGTGCGTTGGCTTGCAAGAGAGGCAACGTCAGCTGGAATCGGTGATAAAAAAAGGCCTTGGTAAATCAAGCAGCAGCAGGTAAATCAGACACTAACGAAGAGCTAATGATGTAATGATTTAGTTTAAGTAGCTTCGTCTATTAATAGAACGCACAAATGCCAGCTGATTGCGTGAAGCTTCGAGGTGACAAGCCAATATTTACGGCCAAATGTTGAAAACACTTGCACACGTTAAATAATTGAATAGGTTGGGTTTACAAACGTTACACTCGCAACATATTTCTCAATAAATTACAGGATGGCGTCAAGGGTAATAACATTAGTGCCTTGTTCATTACGCGCACCTAAAAACTGCGCTGCATTTTCATTGCATCGGCGCGACGACAGCTGTAACCCTACACTGTGTACCCCAGCCAGCCGGCGAGGCTGGATCGACGACACATCATCGATCCATTATCCACGTCACTGAACGACGGAGCGCGAGAAGCGATCGTTTCGCCGCGTCGTTGTAAAGGTCGCACGCAAACGGCGTTCGGGGCAACCCCCTCCGAGCCGCGAGAGACAAGAGAGTGGCTGGGCAGAGGGGGCCTGTGGCATTGCGCGCGTGGCTGCACGTGGCAGACGCTCACCACGTTGTGCTCCAAGCCGGCGATGGTGATCTCGGTGAGGATGAGCACGCCGGAACGGCCCACGCCGGCGCTGCAGTGCACCACGACGGGCGGGCTCGCGGTGTGGGGCGGCAGCATGGAGTTGGTGTGCCGGCGCACCGACTGCACCTCCTCCAGAAATGCTGTGGGGGGGGCGCACACAGGGACCGACGACCGACAGAGTAGAGAGACAGATGGACAGAGTAGAGAGACAGAGTAGGGGGGGATGGATGAGAGATGGGCAGGGCCGGTGTTAAATTACGGGGTGGTTTCCATCTTAGCAATCGTCATCTGCATTGTAATTAAGTTGTTTGCGAGTCTGTTAAGTCTCCAGTGCACAAATAGTGACTATCCAACAGATTGAGGTCCCATTCTGAATTGAACGGGATGGGAGACCTAAGGCAATGACGATGATGACCAAGTTACAATCTATGTCTTCGGACCCAAGTAAAAAAAAAACACCTACTCGTTCATTCGTCGTGCGCGTAATCGCCGAGCCGCGCGACAGCCTTCTCGGTGGCCATGTATAATTCTCGTAGAGCTCTGCCGAACTTAGCCAGTGGACAGTCGTCAACAATTCTGCGACATTGCTTGTACGGTGCCACAGCTGCCAGCTTGGGTTGTCATGAAGACCCCAACGGTGGAAGTTGGCTGCACAGAGACCATGCCCTGTCCGGAAGCTCTAAGCGAGGCCCATTGATGGCGTGGTTCAGTGTTCTTCACTAATTTTCAGATAAGACATCGATATGAGGGCTGAGACACATTTGAAACCATTGGGTTTGACAGCACAATGGGGGTGTTTTCACAAGTTATGTCTGGGGGCCGCACGTCAGGGTCCGCACTAAAGGCCACTAGGGGCTAACAGTGGCCCACGGGCTTTGCAATTAATAACACCGGCGTGGTGAGTTGGAGCCAGGTGGACAGACTGTGGGATTTGCGATAAGGAGCTGGGGATTGGTGCTGATTTTGCCCTCCATTCCTTCCGACAGCTGGTTTCTGACAAGCAGTCTTGGCACGGTTAAAAAAAAGTCTATTGATCGAACTTGAGGTCAAAGTGACTGGTGGTCTGTGGAAGGTGAAATGTAAAAATCTTCAGTTCACTCATATAATGCAGTGTCATAAAGGACGGGAGTTTAGAAGATTTACCCCATAAAGAGATACGTACATACGTACAAACCAATACACATTATCATCCATATCTATAGGGTGGTATCTACATTATTTGTGATTTCAATTTGCAATTGTATTACATTCATATAATCTGTAATTGGTATCTCTATTACATAACTAAAAGTAATTGGTCATTTGCATCTATGTATGCATCAGGGTCAGGATTAAACCCATGAACTCCTGTACACCAGGCGAGATAGTTAACATCTTGCCACCGTGGATACCACATTACGCGCGGACACACGGCACGACGCACAGCGGGGCTCGCGCGGTCACCCACCCAGGAAGCGCTGGACGTCCTCGGGGCAGCCGTGGTCGGGCCAGTCCGGGTAGTGCAGGTGCCACACGGTGCGCTCCTGCCCAGAGGGCAGGTGCTTCACCTTGAGACCCGTCGTCGCGTAGCTGCCCGAGTCCGTGCGGAACTTGGTGGTGACGCGGTAGTCGCCGTAGTTCGCCGAGTTGCGCTTGGAGCCGAGCTTGGGCCAGTAGCGGTGGCACTTCTGCCGTCCGCTCTCCTGTTAAGAGGGGAGAGGATTGCGATCGGCCGTGAAAAAGTTGTCCCGAGGTGAGCGCCGATGGGCCGAGGTGACCACCAGTCTGGGGATTCGAACCCAGGTCTCTGGCTACAGCGCTACCCATTCAGATACGCTTGAACAAAGATGGTCAGACAACTTGAGATACACAGTCGGTGTAAGCGTATTTACAACCCGCAGGATAAGTGAGATCGGTATTTTGCGTTTTTTTTCCTCTAGGCTAGCGTAGTCAACAAGAAATTTTAATTGTATGTAAGTTAAACTGCTTTTGCACCATAAGTAGGCAACCGTACTAATCAGAGGTCTAGAGGAAAGACAAAAAACTAAACACACAAAGGTGTTCTAAAGAAATTAGTTTTTTTATCTATATTTAAAAGTGCATAGTTGGAGCGGATTCATAATATCAGAAGAGCGTTCCAGACGGCCGAAGGAGCGCATCTGAAAGCACACAATACAGGTGACCATGTTTGTTCGGTGGTTAGCCAAAAGCTGCCGCTGTGAGGGTGACCGGAGTTTGCGCGATGGTTTTGGCGGAGAACATTAAGCGGACGAGTCGTGTGCGACGCATCCCACACCGTGGCTTTGCTCGAGGTCTTACCTGCTCAGGTGTGACCATGGCTATGACGCTCACACTCTGCTCCCAAACCATCTGCCAAAAGTCCTGGCAGGTGTTGGGCAGAGGGCCCTGCGTGGCGATGTAATGCCACTGCTCACCACCTACCCTCACCTGCACGCACACACGGACACACGCACACATGCACGCACAATAGCAATCATGTGTCAGGGCCTTTACTTTATCCAGGAAAGCCTCAATAATCTTTCAGGAGGGTCCTGCTTGGAACCTTTGGCCAACTCCTTAATGAGCGTGCATTTCGGAATAGGAAACCAGACTATACCGATGAAAGCCTACCCATAGGATGGGGATAATACAAACATCTGTGGCATATCTCAATAGAGGAGTAACATCGATTGCCGTACTATACTTCCACATCTATGTTCCCTTATTTGACCAGCCCACACTGACCAGCATGGTGAAGTATGGTCAAATAACCCTCATGACCTACACGATGTGTGGAGGTCCTAATCCAGCAGTAGATTGCCAAAAAAACGCTGTTTATGTAAATATGCAAAGGGTATTCTTACTGCACTGGCATCTTACTTGCACTTGTTAATAACAATTATTTTATGTTCCCTTCTTACAAAAATATTTAAAGACAAAAACGTGTTTCTCACATAAGCACTTAGACATATATATAGATGCTCTATTTCATAATAATACAATGTTGTTTTTAATTAAATTTACAAATGTTTACTCCGAATTTTATCTTTTTTTTTATTCACGTTTTTTGTTAAATTCTCTGTAACTTAACACATTTATTATTCCGGAAACAATAACAATTTACCCGAATAACGTACATACTTCAAAACGTGTACATAGTTCGTACACTTGGTAATAAATACATTCTTGAAAGAGGAACTGACAGCTGAGATGTCTAATGTGCCACATGTCCTTTCAGCAAATACTTACACATTATACACACACACACATATACATAAACAAACTCTACAAGCATTCTATTTCCAAACTTCCAAACCTAACTTTCACGTGTTCGGGGGACACGCCGCCATGTGTTCTTTACATGCCAGCGGCCGGCTAAAGAAAATAAAACAAAACAAAAACCCCGACTAATGTGTACCCGCTTTGTGTGCAAGAAGGCGCGCAATTGCAGCAACGCGCCGTTTTCACGTGGCGGCAATAATGCATCGCAGCTGTGCGACAAATCAGCTGCCGTGTAATGCGTAACGGCACGCGCCTGTTTACTCCACCGACCACGGGCTGGCTGGACGGGACACCTGTGCCCTCTCTCTCTCTCGCCCGCGGGCGCCAATTACCGACAACTGCCGGGGTACACTTCCACGCCACCCGAGACGGCCGGGCGCTTTGATGCGGGACACGGGGAGGAGCGCCACGGCAAGTGTTTTTTTCCCCTCCACGCCCGAAACCGCAAGCGTGGAACCGTTCATTTGGAGCCACTTATTCCGTAACGAGCGTTAATCAAACATTTAATTGCTTAATCGCGGATCGGCGTGGCCCATTGATTGGCTTTAACGCGATGGGGTTTTTGTTGTTGTTGTTGTTGAGCGCCGTGCCTGTGTAGTAGTGAGTGCTGCATATGACGTGTGCGCGTGTTTTCTTTCGTGTGCGTACACACGCTCTTGCACGTCCGTACGCGTGTGCGTATAGTAGCATCGCAATCGGCCCATTGCATTATGATCCCGTCAACCCAGGGTTCAACTCCTGCTCAGTGATGAGTAAGTACGGGGGAGCTGTGCTTAACATCCAAAGTCGTGTGCTTGTACCAGAAATCACCCATGATTTCCCGCCCACCAATGCAATGTAAGGATGTGTTTTCTCACATTAGAGCCGTGCTTGTATAATGGTGTGCTCATATACAGCATTTATTGTAACTAATCATGTCCTGGGCCACCCCAAATTATTATTTGGAACAATCGACGAATATTGACGTGACAGCTACAATACCCGTCCCCCATTGTGTGCCGAGCCAGCCTTTAATAAGTGCTCACTAATAGCACCGTGCCCTAACAATCTACACGCTGTCTTTTGCTCGATTATATGTGCACTCTTTGAGAATAGAGTTTAAAATATATATATCACGGGCATTGGGACGACGATCCATAAAAGGCACATTCTGAATGTTAATGGCGAGGTCTTGTGCGGCGGGCGGCACTTATGAACTTATCGTGCGGCCAGTAAAAAAGAACAGTGATAGATAATGATCGTTACACAATCGTAATGTGAAGTAGGGTGTGACATGACCCCTTTTTTTTCGTGACAAGGTGGTTTGTTTACGCAGCCTGGCTGAGCCGGTGGCTAGTTTTTTGCCAAGCGCTACGCCATTGTACCTCGTGCGAAATGTATAAATCGGCCACCAATAAAAACACGCACAGAAAAAAAGTACCAACAATTATCTCTCCTTGTTGCAATTACCAAGGTCTTAGAAAATGTACGTTTTATCTGACTGCTGCCACCAGATAGTTGTAAATGGAATGATCAATACTCTTTTGTCCACGGGAGATCCATGTTACTTCGGCCAAGCAAAACTACTCCATCCGCTGGCCATTTAGTGAATTCATTTTTATCTTCCACAAACCAATACTGCTCTGAAAACAGAAACAACCGCACTGTTTATATAACAGGGTCATGTTTCTGGTAATGGAATTCACGAAGAATAGAGAGAGAGGATAGAGCCTGGCTTATATTTGGGTATCACACTGTTAGTTTGTCTTTCCACCCTGCACCTCCGATTAGCACGGTTGACTACGACGTATGGTGCGAAAGTTCAGCATACATATATTTAAACTACAGCGACCACAAATGTTTTGAAGATCACAAAATAATCCGCTTTTAAGTCTTTCCATTAACTCACTTGGAATTACCGACCCCAAGCGAAAGGTTCGTACACAAGTTTTCATGTAAAACATGCAAATTATTACAAACTAGCTTTACTACCCGGCTTCGTACGGGACTTGGATTCACCACGCCCGGCCGCCTTTGTCTCCCCAGTGGCGATGTTGACACACCACACCAGTTACTCGTTTGAGGCTGAGTCGACCCAGGGGAGGCCCAGGACCGGTTCAAATAATCGTCACCGGTGGTGGCCGTGAGCGGGAATCGAACTCGGGTTGCCGGGTTCGTAGCGCGGCGCGCTAATCACTACACTAAAATGCGTTACGCTTCCACATGCGCGGGTCACATGACAAATTTGACGTCACAGCTAAACTTGTCATGCAAAAAATATATGCAATATTGAGCTCCCCCCCCCCCAAAAAAAGTATATTTTTTAATTTTTGCATGGTGTACAGTCTCGAAAGTACCCACATGGCAAATTTCAAGTTTGTTGCATGTCGAGAAGTACGCTAAACATTTTGAACAGACACACATAATCATAATTTTGCCTCTTATATATATGGAGATGATTCTGCAATACATAACACTCGTTTACACATACAGGGACTCATCTACTTACGAACGAGTTAGGCTCCAGACGTCTCTTCGTAAGTCAATTTGTTCGTAAGTCCAACTTTACCCCTGCAGATTCCAAATGTGCTGTATGGCATGGACACTAAACACGGGCAATGACTTTACAAGTTGTATAATCGCCTGTAGATGCCACTGGTTCTTCATGTTCTGGAAACTGGACATATGGACAGGTTTGTTCGTGTCTCTGCAAGTTCGTTAGTCGAATGTTCCTAAGCAGAGGAGTCCCTGTATGACCAAATCACCATGAATGTCCCCAATTCTCATCACGGAGGGTCAAGTACGGTTGAGCCTGGATAGTGCTTAGATAGGTGGTCAGTCATGCATGGAACAGGTGTTCTAGATTGCTGTGTGGAAACAATGTCAGGAGAGGGCAGTGCAGCAAATTCATTATTGTACTGTACTATGCTGCAACGATGATGCTCCCTGCCTTCAGTAATCCGCACTGCGTAGTCAAATACAGTGAAACCTTGGATTGCGAGCATAATTCGTTCCGGAAACGTGATTGTAATCCAAAGCACTCGTATATCAGTTGTGATCACGTGACGCTCAGCAGACAAAGCGTATGCACGTACTGCTCGTATTGCAAGACCTCGCTTGTTTATCAAATTAATATTTATTTTAAAAATTTGCTCGTCTTGCAAAACACTCGCAGACCAAATTACTCGCGATCCAAGGTTTTACTGTATGGTCAAAAAACTCTTACGGCCTGCACAGTGCGAGGAGACTGTGATCCAAGCAGTAGCTTGTCAACAAAGCTGTATGGTACATGTCAGTGGCCATTTTGCTGATAGCGGTGGTGACGACTGAACGTGGTGGCGGCGGTGACATTTTAATGGCAACCGTGGTGGCGGCGGTTGTGACGTTGAGTACTCGTACAAACTATGTTTTATTTGACCAGGTAAGGCCCACAGAGCTATATAACTCTTTTTCAGAAGCGACCTGGCCACAAATGAGAGCTCAACGAAGTGACTTAGAGGTGGAAATTTAAAGCAGCCATATACTCCTAACGCATGTTGATTGTAAATGTGGAGGGAAAAAATGGAGGACCCGGAGAAAAACCCACGCGACCACAGAGGAGAACATGCAAACTCCAAATTTACAACAGGGATCGAACTCGCGACCCCCTGTATACCAGGTGAAGTAGTTAACATCTCGCCACCGCGGCTTATATCGTGCTGGGCCGGTAACCGCTCCTCCCTCGAGTGCGCGACCACAACCTCCCCGGGGCCCTCACCCGCACGTGCGAGGCATTGATGTATCCCGTCGGGTTGTCCTTGCTGGGCAGCAGCTCGACGCGCGTCTGCTCGTAGGGCAGCACGTCGCCGAAGCGGTTCCTCTCCTGGTTGTCGGGCAGCTCCGCCGTGCTGTACACGGGGTCCGGGCGCGTGCGCGGAATGCACTCGTACTCGGCCGACACGAGGCCGCGCGCCACCCGCTTCTCCAAGCGTGCGCACTGTCGTCCCCCGTACCGGATACCGGGGGGAGGGCAAGGGCAAGGCGGCGGCGGTGGTGGAAGGAGAAGGGGGGGGGGGCGAGTGGAAGTGTAGCGGTTAGCGCACTGCGCCACGAACACGGCGACCCGAGTTCGACTCCCGCTCACGGACAACACCATCGGTGACGATTGTCTGAACCGGTCCTGGTGCTTCCTCCGCAAGGTCGACTCGGCCTCAAATGAGTACCTGATGTGTTGTGCCGGCCTTCACAAGTGCTACTCATTAACAGCACTTGCCCCAACAGTCTGTTAAGGCTGCACCGGGGGGGCGGTTTTGGGGGGGGAGTGGCGGCGGTGGGCGGGAGAGAAATGTACGCTTTTAATTCCACGGCACGCACACTAGTTTCGAACTTCGTGACACGCCGAACCAAACGATCCCAACTGAGCATGCGTGACCAAGCAAGTTGAGAGGGTCGGGGGTGGGGGCCCGATGGCCGCCTGCTGCCGCGCTACTTCACCGCGGCCAATGGAGAGGGGATGGCAGCACGTGGAGGGTGGGAGGTGGGGGTTGGATTGGCCACTGAACGGTATGGAGGAGGAGAGTTGGTCTGGCACAGCGCGCGAACAGTGACGTTTTCTGCTTTCCTATAATTCCGAAAAATATCTTGGTGGCACTAGCGGACAGACACGGTGACAATCATAATTACAAAAGCAACGTTTAGACGTTTAATGAACCAGACTGTATGTTAAGCAATCCATTTTGGCATATATGTAAAGAATACGCAAAAGGAAACTGCAATGCTGAATGGCAATATAGACAGATGTAAAGACGGACAGATGAATAAAAGAACAATACAAAATACAGACCGATATTAAACATATAACAGCAAGATAAATATATGAAAATAGACAAATTATTAGGTTGACAGGACATATACTCAAATAGACAGCAAAACATGCGTAAAGACAGATAGTGAGAGACCAGCAGACATAATAAATAGATAAGATTGTATTTATTTCAGCAGGAAGGGCCCAATGGGATGTTAGGCTCTGTTTCATGGGCATCCTGTGATGGTACAGATGTTATACTGTACAACTCTTAGTTGCAATCATGGTTACATATAATAATTCTAGAGACCCGACAAAGTAAGTCAGGACATGGACAAACGCTGCAATAAAAAAATATTATCAAACAGAATCTGACGGGCAAAACTACTGATACCAACAGATAGACGAAGATAGAAAACAACCAGGCAAGGCAGACAGTCCAAGTGACAGACGGGCAGAGTCAGGCAGAGAGCCAATGGGAAAGATCAACAGAAAGGCACAGAATCTGACAACAGGCAAAAATCTAACGAAAGACAGACCAATATGCATTATGTACGTATGTACGTTGACCTTTCTTTCGCACCGTACGTAGCCAGCTGTGTCAATCGGAGGCGCGGCGGAGGGGGGGAGAAGGTAGACAACTAAATGCAAAAAAGCAGTTCGTTACACACGTACAGGAGAGAGGCCCAGCTAACAAAGAGACAGACACACATCTAAGATAGAAGGCCCGTGTACACGTCCACTTGGACACAACCCATGAGCGGAGCGTACCCTCTCGTCCAGCTGTCCCCTGGCAGTCTCCTCCCTGCTCTCCTCGGGCACGGGCAGCTGTGAGATGGACAGGCCGTTGAGAGCGGCCAGCTTCAGGGGACCCAGCTTGGAAATGTCAGCTGGCCCAGAGCCTCTCTTCTCCATGTTCTGCAATGGAAAAAGAACTCGGACCTATTTAACAGCGGCCAGCAAAAGCTGACACTGTTTTAAAGGCGAGGAACGCCACAACCGAATGAGTCACTGCGCAAAACAAAAAGCAGTAATTTTTTTGTAGTTTTTGTTTAATGGCTTCGGCAGACCGTTTGGCGCCGTTTTACTGTCACGGCCGTTGCGTCACGGTGGCAAAATGTTAACTACCTCACCCGGTACACAGGTCGTAGGTTTTATCCCGACCCTGAAGCCTGTATACATATGGAGTTTGCATGTTATCTCCGTGGTCGTGTGGATTTTTCTCTGGGTCCTCCGTTTGTTCCCTCCACATTTAAAAACATGCATTTGGAGTATTTGCCTGGTATGAATTTCCACATCAGCCACTTAGTTGAGCTATCATTAGTGGCCAGGTCGCTTCTGAAAAAGAGCCTATATAGCTCAGTGGGCTCTACCTGGTAAAATAAAAATAATTTAGTCTTAGTTTCGCAGGTGTCGTTTTGTGAATCAGTGCGGTGGGTGCCACCCCATTTAGCAACGAAGAATCAGTGCGGTGGGTGCCACTTTAATTAGCGAAAACGAATCAGTGCGGTGGATGCCACTCAATTCCACATCGACGTATCAGTGCGGTGGGTGCCACTCACACGCAGCACAAACTCCCTCTCCACGATGCTGTCCTGCACGGCGAACAGCTCCGACACGGGCCGCTCGCGCGCCGGGTTCGCCCTCGTCCGCGTCTTCACGGCCGTGCTCAGGTCGGGCTCCGACACGGACGGCACCATCGCCGAGCCGCCAAAGTGCCTGCCGTCCCCACCCGCGCCGCTCCCGTCTGAAACACCGTTCGAGTATGGGTGGTGGCCCGGCGCCCGCCCTCCCGACATCATCGGCAGCGGCGGAGGCGGAGGAGGCAGCGTGGCCTCGCGGCGCGGGTATTCCGGCGGGGGCTTGTTCGGCAGCCGCGCCAGCATGGCCTGCAGCTGCGGGCTATACGCGAGGTTGTGCTGGTAGGACTGCGCAGGCAGCTCGAACGGTGGCCTAGGGGGTGCCTGGAGCCCGTCCGCGTGCTCTCCGTTTCCGACGAGGAGCGGCTGCCCGTTGTAGTAATGCGCCGGCAGCTGCTGCTGCTGCTGCTGTTGCTGGTAGGGGCTGCTTGTTCCGATGGCCAGGCTGGACACGGCGCGGTCGCGCAGCGACAGTGCTTCCATGTCCCGCACCACGCTGCTGTTCACCTCGAGGCTGTAGCGCTTGCGCACGCCCGCGGCGCCCCTCCTGCACGACGAGCCCAGCGCCCCTTCACGAGTCGGCCCCGCTCCTCCACCGCCACCGCCGTAGCCGACCCCAGCGGCATCGCACAGCTCCGCGGGGGACTGCCCGGCAGCCGTCAGAGACTCGGTCCCGCCGGTCGGGAGCTGGGGAACGGTGTTTTGCCGGTAGACGGGGTGCACGATGGGCTCGGCGAACATTCGCTCGTGGTGGTGCTGCTGGTGGTGGTGGTACCCGCCGTTAGCGCTGGCGGCGCCCGCGAACGAGCGCTGGTGGCTGATGAGGTCCGGCGTGCTCGCGGCGGGACGAGGGGTCGGGTAGGGCGGAGGCGGGCGGGAGAAGTGGTTGCGCAGCATGGCCGCCACCTGCGGCGGGTACTGCGACGGGTCGACGGCAAGCTCCGGCGTGCTCACCGCGTGGAAGATCTCCGCGTTGCCGATCACCGACTGCGTGGCACACAGCTGCGACGGCGCACCTGGGCCAAAAGGCGGCAGCTGCTGATGTCCGTACGGGAGCTGTGGGTGGCTGCTCTTGATGCACAGCATTTGTTGCTGCTGTTGCTGCTGCTGCTGTTGCTGCTGCTGCTGTTGCTGCTGCTGATGTAGGTGCTGATGTTGCTGGTGCAGGTAGAAGTAAGGTGGCCGCTGCTCGTACTGGCCTTGCCGGATTTCCGGCTGGCTGTACGCGAGAGTTGCGGCGCGGCCGTAAGCGTAAGCCTCCCCGAGCCAGGGTCCACCGCCAGATCGCGCGGCGCCACCGCCACCGCCGCCACCGCCGCCGCCGGCCGCGTACCCCACGTTGCCGTCGGCCCGGCACGGCATGCCGAAGCGTCCGGCCTGCCGCATCACCGTGTCGTAGTCGGGCGTCGGCCGGTAGGAGGGCATGACGAGCGCGCTGTGCCGCTGCTGCAGGGGCTCGGACGGCCGCGCGGGGACGCCGGCCGCGCCCTCGCTGCCGGGGATGCTGAGGTCGGAGGACATGGGCGACGCCTGCGCAAAGTGGTTCAGCGAGTTGACGCTGGGCGCGCTGTACACGCTGCCGTTGGGCAGGCGGGAGCCGCCGCCACCACCGCCTCCGTTCACGTGCACGTGGTCCAGGCTCGTCTGCGAGCGGTAGTAGTAGCCGTCCTCGTTGGGGTAGAAGATGTTGTCTGTTGAGGGGCAGCCGGCAGAGGAAATGCGTTGCGGGGTTGCTGTTGTTAACGTCGGGTTTTTTTTATGACGTCAGAAGTTTAGCCCTCCGACGTGTTTTTTTCTGGTTGAACCGCGCACTGTAGGGCACGATGCCCGACACTGCGTTCGACGTGCCGGGAGCTTCGGCTCGGTTCGGACATAATGTCAAAACGTCGAACATCATGTCAAACACGATGTAAGCAAATTGGTCTGAGCTACTTGCTGTACTGCCTCTTACAGGCACCTCATTGTCATGCAGGTAGGCGTCTGGCACTATGTACAATTCTGCACAATCCACCAGGCACCAAGGTGGCGAGATGTTAACTACCTCGCCTGATATACAGGAGGACGTGGGTTCGATACCAACCCCGACGCCTCTACATTTGAAGTGTGCATGTTCTCCAGGTGGTTGTGCAGATTTTTCTCTGGGTTCTCTGGTTTTTCTCTCCACATTTAGAATTGACATGCATTTTGAGTATTTGGCTGCTACAAATTTCCACGTGATAAGCCACTTCGTTGAGCTATAATTTGTGGTCAGGTCAAAATAAAAATTGTTTGTAGTTTAGTTTATAGTTTAAATAGCATGCGTTACAAACCAAAATCAGATCAGAGCTGTACAGCACAACAGTAAAATCTACAGTGAAAACCAGAAGTGTCGCACGCAAGAAAATATCCTGGGTGGTATTCAGCTCCATAGTTGGTCCTAATTCAGATGTAAAAATTCCACGGTCATATGACAGGAACTAGTCGATCCCTGGTGACGTATGGTCAAATAAAGCCCACGACCCGCAGGGCGTAGGCGACGCCTCTTCCAGCAGTTCATTCATGAACAGGCTCTACATTTACACAAATTGTACGTAAACTGCTGTACGTAAACTGCTGCTACTTCTCAGAAAGTGGTACTCATCTCATTGATTTGAACGGCCGATAGCGTAATTGGACTCCCAAAAAAGAATTAAACCGAAACCACTCAACCGCAACCACTTTCGTCATTGGCTGAACACAAATCATTTCTCATTCACCGCTGACCTCATGGCTAACCAGGGCATTTTGCACAGAAATCAAACTGCAAACGCCGCATTCAGCAAATAACAGCGGGTGACGATTCAATTGCTCTGGCGCAATTGCTGACGCACTGCCCATTCAGAGGAAATGTCCATTCACATTTGTCAATAACACTGTGGGGCCTTTAAAACTGAAAAGTATATCATAGGTTACGTTTTTGGCAATGTGTGCTGATGACTACGTCTCTGGTCTCTCTATGTGCTGTGAAGAAGGTCCAATTCCATGAAACAAATGTTTTTATTTTACCGGGTAAGGCCCACCTGAGCTATTATCGCGTGGAAATGTATACCAGCCAAATACTCCAAACGCGCATTCATTCTAAATGTGGAGGGAAAAACTGGAGGACCCGGAGAAAAATCCATGCGACCACGGGGAGAGAGACATGCAAATTCCAAATATACAGGCGTCATGGTCGGGATCGAAACCACGACCGCCTGTATTCCAGGTGAGGTAGTTCACATCTCGCCACTGCAGCACCCCATAATTTGAAATCTCGTTTTTTATGCAGTTTTATTGACAACCATGTTGAGTTTTTTGTGTTATTTGTGCTCGTGCATCACTGCCAACACAGTACCACCAAAATAATTTGTCCAATATCATGTCAGAACACCTCGCTGATATGCCTGATATGTTGGCTTTAAATCTGGGTATCATCCACCAGTGATTTAGCAGTGATCTCCAGCTTAGTGAGTTTTATGCTCCAAGCCTAATCACCAATTATCGCTCGAAGAAAGTAATTAAATTTGAGGTTGACTTCAATTGGCTTATATCGTCGAGGGATATTTTTATGCGATTTCCCTGCTAAGAACACCTCCATAGCAGGACATGCAAGCACCTTCATCGCCGGATAACCGGGACCTCAGATGAATTTCCAAACTGCCACCTTTCAGTGACACTTCTGACAAAGGGTAGAAAACAATGCTGTACAGTAAAAGTTGCAAGTGGTAATTTCTTAATCTCCTGATTTGGCATCGATAGCACAATCTATATATAAAATAAAAACACGTGTACAATCCGCAAGTGTCCGTCCGGCACGCTCCATATCTCGCACATGATTTCGTCGTGATTTTTTTTTTTACAACAAAACTGTTTCCTCTTGATCAGGACATTACCCACAAAATTGTTGCCTTTCCCAATTAACAGCATTTCCCCCCCCCACCTCCGCCCAACATCATGAAAAATAACGTCCAATACAAACCAATGGGAGCCAAAGTCTTCCGGGAGAGCGACTCGCGTTTTATCGATAGAATTGTCTGGAAGTTCGGTTCCCTATTGACTTATATTTAAACCCGTTCCATATGATGTCACAGTCCCTTAAATAACGCCTATCGCTTCGCCGCGGTGACGTCGCCCTACAGGGCTACATGACACCGTGATGATGTCATTACGGATGACACCGTGATGATGTAATCGCACTTCACGCTGAATTCTTACACGACGCATGCATGGACGGGCTAGGGTGCGCAAACGTGCGGGCGGTGTTAGTCGAAATATATACATTTGTATTTGAAATTAACAGGCCAAAATTGCGATCGAGAGATGTGAAACAAGACAGCGCAGGTTATTTTTAGCCACATACCTTGAGAGGCCAGGTGTGGTTCCGGGTAGCGATTGCCGTAGGGAATCTGCAGGGGAGCCGGAACGATGGGATGGCTCTGCACCTGCTAAATTCACCAACGACAAAAAACACATCACGTTGAGCCAGCATCAGAACACGATGGATGTGTGCACCTTACCCCGCTTAAAAATAACCCCGTAATTAATTCCAAAAAATACAATCACACACATCTGGCGTGGCCACTACGAAAGCCCAACCGAATGTATCTTCTCCCTCGACGTTCGTCGTATCGTACACCTTTTTCCTCACGGTGATATCGCGTGCTCCGAGACTTCAACAGCTCACTCCGCTCATTTTTTTCACGGAATGGAAGTGCCTTCTGCGCCTCTGGGCGACCTGTCTCCCGTGAAGCCTGCTTAGCGCGAATGCTGTCTTAATTATAGCACCAGTACTGGGGGCTAAGAATAGCAGTTTAATTACTCAGCAGTGTTAATTACGAGGCATTGTGAGTCCTACATCACTATGCACAGGCTGGCTCTCTTAGCCAAACATCTTATGTGTAAGTCATTTTTTGTGTCTGTGTATCTGTCTGTCTGTGTGTCTGTCTGTCTGTGTGTCTGTCTGTCTGTCTGTGCGGATACCCTGAGACGTTTTTAACTGACAAACTGTGGTGTTTACGTATCAGAAAAGTACACGGATGCCACGCCATATGCCCCAGAAAAAAAAGCGCTATTAATATTACACGTCTGTCAACTTTAAAGTAGTTAAATTATCAATGTATTCCTTTTATAAGCACAGAGTGGTACCAGAGCACGCATCTGGGCATGCGCGAGAACGCCGGCTCGTGGTGGTGGTTGCCCTGGCAACGCACACACGCGACCTGTGGACGTTTGCGTAAAAAATGCAACAACAAAAATACACAACGTTTAGGTAAATTCTTCACAGTGTGATGTCCTCCTCCGCCCCCCCCACCCCAATATGTGCACTTACTACTATTGGGTCGGTAGATACTACTAAAGTCATATTCCTGCAGTCACGAAAGCTTCAAATCAAGACTACTATAGTGCTTAGATACTATTACTGTAGAGCGGGCAGGGGGATAGTGGGGTGGGGTAGCACCCCAGCCTGCAAAAGTGCCACCTCGGCCGGCTGGGCAAGCTCGGCGAGGCCGGGGGCACTGCACGGGACTAGGCCTCACCACGGCACTCTATTAAGTCAGTAGATACTACTATAGTCAGTAAATACTGCTACAGTCAGTAGATACTACTATACAGTCAAGTAGATACTACTACGGTCAGTAGATACTACTATGGTGATTAAATCCTCCTACAGTCAGTAGATACTACTATAGAGTCAGTAGATACTACTGTAGAGTTAGTAGTTACTACTATAGTCAGCGGATATTACTACCGTCAGTAGTTACTACTATAGAGTCAGTAGATGCTACTATAGAGTCGGTAGATACTACCGTAGGGTCGGTAGATACTATTATAGTCAGTAGATAATACTAAAGTCAGTAGACACCACTATAGTCAGTTTATACTGCTGCAGAGTAATTAGATACTATGATAGAGTCAGCAGATACTACTATAGAGTTAGTAGGTACTACTATAACCAGTGGATACTACTATAGAGTTAACAAATACTACTATAGAGTTAGTAATTACTACTATAGTCGGTAGATACTACTGTAGGGGCCTGTAGATACTATGGTCAGTAGTTACTACTACAGTCAGTAGATACTACTATACAGTCAGTAATGACTACTGGACTCAGTAGATACTACCGTACAGTCAGTAGATACAACCACAGAGTCAGTAGATACAACTACAGAATCAGCAGATACTACTATAGAGTCAGTAAATACTACTATAGAGTCAATAGATACTACTATAGTCACTAGATACTACTCACTCTATTGTACGTAGGGTGTGTATATATGCCTACGTGGGAGGGGGTGGTCAACAATTTTTTTAACCTTTTAGATCAACTATTTGCCCCCCACTTTCTATAACTTTTTGGACTCCTGCAAGCCTCTTATAATGTTGTTAATGGACAAATGGACAGACAAACGGGACGCCGGGCTTTCACAATAGCTTCGCATTTGTGTCTGTATGTTATGTTAAGAGACGTTTTTAAATATATTCTTCCCCCGGGCAACGCCGGGTACTTCCCGCTAGTAGAATATAAAAAGGAGTAGCAGAGTCGACTTCAATGGGCTGAGACGCTGCAAGCCGTGTCAACCCAAGTCTATCTCTGATGGCTCAGATTTATGCCCTGGCCAAATTTCAGTTTTCCATTCAAATAGCCAAACCCTGGGTAAACCTTGACTCAATCCTTTGGCCAACAGTTTATGTGCACGTAAAACCTGGCAGCCACCTACCCACATCCACACCCTACAACACCAAGCTCTGTTAAAATTACGTACGTGTGTTAACCTGCATTGGCAAGCCATTTGTCACTGCTTGTTAAGGCACGTGGATTTTGAGCCTATATTTCACTGTACAAGGCAAATTGTTTTTTTAGTCACGCAATTTACGGCCCTTTGTCAATCCAATGTTGGAAGGCGGCCTTCTCCATGCTATGTCAGTGTCGGGGAGGAGGGGGTTTGGCAAATCTCCACCACGCTGGTGGGTGCCGATTGGTCAAGCCGGTGCCCAGGACCAGTTGAGACTATCACTCGTCACTGATACAAGCCATGGCCGTGAATCAAACTCACGTCCGATGGGGTTCATAGTTCAGTGTGACCATTGAAATCGAATTTCGATTGAAAGCTTTCGTGACTGCATGGATTCATCTTCTTGGTTCTTTCGGTAAAGTCACGTAGAAGGGAACCTGTTCTTCACCTGAGGACGGCTGCTTGCGTTGTGGCCGAAACGTCGTGAGAATTATTTTATTATGTTTTATTTTTATTATTTTATTATTTCCCTTCTACGTGACTTTACCGAAAAAACCAAGAACATTGAAATCGAGTTAAATCAAAATTCAAAGCCTTAAAAACGTTGCCCAGAGTTGGTTGGCATGCCAATAAAATATACTACTATGTGGAATGTTGAATGCTTACAGAACAGAGAGAGAGAGGGGCTTGGCTTAATGTCTCATCCAGCAGGCAGATCAGGCCCGTGTACTCTCGCACAACACTTAAGATTGCAAAAGTTACGGAGAACGGTGGAGTAGAATTACACACGATAAGAAATGTAGTCCATTAAATTTAATTTGGTGCTCATTACCCTTACATATACGAAGCTGTGGTGAAGCATAAAGATAAGCGAACTGGTAATGGCCACAGTGCTGTGATGATTTGTCCTACGTATGCAATTCTGAGTTGGGAGGAGGTTGGGTAGCTCACGGAGATAATGCATGTTTACAACTCTGAGGCCTTCACTGGCAAGATCCGGCGTTAAAAAATCAGGGGGGCGGGTTCTTGGGTTTAACATTTGGATCAAGTGCAGTGGAACACATCTGTGATCCAATAATGGCTACACCGTAACTGACGATTACAAACATGAAGCCGATATACAGTTGTCTGAAGTAAACTATTTTTTATTTTACCAGGTAAGGCCCACTGAGCTATATATCTCTTTTTCAGAATCGACCTGGCCACAATTGATATTCAAGGAAGTGGCTTATCATGTGGAAACGTATAGCAGGAAAAGACTCTAAAAGCATGTTTCTAAATGTGGAGGGAAAACCCGGAGAACTGAGAGAAAAATCCACATGACCACGGGGAGAGAGACACCGCAAACTCCAAATATACAGCAGGTGCCAGGGTTGGGATTAAACCCACAACCTCCTGTACACCAGGCGAGGTAGTTAACATCTCGCCACCGCGGCCTCTCAATGTTCTACCGCTGCCGTAAGTAATATGGCCACGATGTATAATCTTGGTGGCCTAAAAGAAGGCTTGTGTGCAATATACATAAGGTGATGCATCTCAATAATGTGTTGTTTTACTACCCTTAATGCTGGTGGATTGTGCAGAAATGTACATTGTGGCAGATACAAATCTGAGATGCCTGTAAGAGGCAGTACCAGCAAGTAACTCAGACCTATTTTTTGGAGTTTTGGTTAGGTTTTCTCAAGAGGAGGGGTTTACATCGCGCACCGTGTCCTTCCACGTAGAAACATAATCAAAGATCATTCAAGCAAGGCCTGTTCAAGCAATGCCTACTCCAGCAAGGCCTGAATAAAGGTCGAGTGACTCAGAGTAGCTTTTCTGAGTACAGTACATACATATACAGCCCTCCGTCAATTCACTTCTGGATGAAGGTTTTCGCACAACACGAGGGTCGTGGGGGTTATTTGACCATAGTTCACCACGCTGGTATGTGCAGGTTGCCAAAGGCCGGGGGGGATCAGACATGGGAGCAAAGAAGTACAGCACAACGATGGATTCTGCTGCAACTGCCCTCACAGCTGTCCACGATTTAAACCCTCAGGCTTTCCTGAGTAATAGAATGAAAACTCATCAGTTGACACTATGAGCCATTACTAAAGGCTTGCACATTAAACAAACCTGTTCTCGTTGATTTGGATTGCAACTCGTTTAATATATGAAGCTGGTAGGTAGTCAAGCTGAAATAAAATCTACGAAGAAAAGGCTCTCTCATGTGATGGCGCCAGGTGCAGCGTGGTTAATGAGTAACGTGCGGCCACCACCGACGGAGGAATGTGGAGAAACATGTGATTAAACAGACACCCACACGACCATCTTAAGTGTGACTTGGGTGGCCCCCGTTGTGGGTTTTCCCGAATGCCCAACTGATGCGATGGCGCATTGCATTGTTCAGAGTAATTCCATTAAAGATATTACAATTTTCAAATTACTGGGGGCTAAGTCCTCTTATTGTAGCCTGTGAATTCTTACACGCTTAAGTTGGCCTTCCGTCTAGTGGCAAGGAAGATCGACTGCTCGATTAACTTCGCACAAGAAGCAACAATAACATTGCTATGCATCATTCTTGTGCGATTGGTGGGGCAACGTGTGAAGCACTGCGGACGGCCGATTGCCGAAACGGTTATTGGAGTGGTCTCCACGAGCCAGACCACCAAGGGGTAGACCCAAGAGCAGATGGTGGGAGACTGTTCGGGCTGATCTTGGAGGGTGGCTGCGTGTCTACTGTGCAGCAGCTGTAGAGTCTGGCAGAGGGTAAGAAAGCCTTGGCAGTGAGCTGTGGTGATGGCATCAACGGCTATGCCCCTTGTAACTTCCCGATCTTAATCATGTCATTCAACTGATTTGCAACTTTCGTACCTACCAGACCGTGTATCGATCGTTCAATTTGAACGTGCAATTTTATTGAGGGACTGTGTGTTGTCTTGGTGTGGTCTGGGACTGTTTTCTGATGTTGTTTTGCTGCTTTGCCCAAGCTTGCCTTTAGTGTTGACCAATCAGCAGGATTCGATGTACTTTTGCAATATGTACTTCTCTACTTTATTTATTTTTAGAGACTTGTTTACCTTTCCTATACTTTACACTCCTATCGGTTTTTGTGATGTTTGTGGTTTTAACTTTGTGACCCACCCCTAGAGGACACCTGTGGAAAAGCGCTTCATAGCTCGTCGGATTCCTCCAGGATAAAGATTCCGATTCTGAAATACAACACCGAGATATTTCTGCGTAGGTTCCACCCCCCTCCCCCCCATTTACAGGTGTGCCATGTAACACGACACGCCAAAACCTGTCCAGATATCACTCGTCACCCATGTTAGCATGTGCTTCACCACGCTCTCTATCCCCAGTAAGAAAGTTAAGCCGCGATGAGAGTTGCAAGTGTTGAATGTGGGGGGGAGTGGGGGTGGGGGGTGTGGGGTCAGTGGGGAGGGGGAGTGGGGGAGGTTGGGGAGTGGGGGGGAGGGATGAATGGAGGGGGGAGTGGGGAGGGCGCTCCGAGCCTTCGCGACAAGACAGCGGCCTCACCGACGGGATGCGCTTCAGCGTGGTCCTGCGCCTCGCCGCGGTTGGGGACGGTTCGGGCGGCTTTGGCCTTTCGCGGGAGAGCCGGGGAGAGCGATGGGGGTAGAGAGAGGGAGAGGAGGAGGAGACAGCAGTGGGGAGAGGACAGGAAGGGGGGAGGGAGGTTAGGTGCGCGTTGGCAGTGAAGGGTCGGCGACGCACAGCGAACAAAGCAGGCATGGGTCTCGTTGGCGCGTTAAGTTTAGGCGGTGGCGAGACGCGGGCCTGGGTTTGGGAAGGGCAATGCCGTTTGGCCCCGGGTTAAATTTACTGCCAGATGCCGCTTCACGGCTGAGTGCAAGCCGGATTGGTAGGTTCTTTACTCTTACATTAACCCTTCGGTTACATCGATCAAATACACCTGGTGTGATCCATTAGCATAATAATGAACAGATGCCACTGGCTTCTCAAGCTGGGCTCCCGCTTGCACGGCTTGCAGAAGCAAGTCGTGCACGCAGAGCGTTATTAATGGCAACACGAGGCATTAACCTCAATGACACCTCCATCGGCCAGATACGTGCGCCAAGGGTGTCATCGGCACAGATCATCAGGAGAGCCATTGCACTTCCGTTTAATCGAATGGAATGCACATTTGCCTAATTGGCATGGAGGTTAATCCCTGCAAATTAACGTAACTCAACCCTGCCTTGCAATGCCTCCAACGTTCATTTTAATAATATTCCTTGCGGAGCATTCATTCATTATTTGTTTCTCTTTTTCTCTTTCCTTTGTTACAAGTCGGGTCAGACGAAGACCTTTTCATTCAATGAAACATTGACGAGGCCGTATCGATCGCTACAATCGTTACAATGCGTTCTCTTCACTGGGGACGAGAAGCCGCGCGGGTTTTCCCTGGGGCCCAAGGTCAGTGGCACGCAAGCGCTATTAGTCAATTAGATGACATCAGCCACATATGACTTTGCTCGGCAGCAAAGGCCGTGCAAAACCAATTGGTCCTTTTGGAGCAGGGGAGTTGCAGGAGGATTTAAGTGCAGTGCCCTGCACACATCATTCTCCGCTGACCTCGACTTGAGTGAAGTGTTAAGTCGGTCACAAACACACAGAGCACACACGATGATCTCCAGTCTGTACAGCCTGCAGAGACAAGAGCCGCCCGTTAGCAAGCGCCTATCATTGCCGGAAAAGCACACGAGTGATGGCATTGGTAAACACACTGCATATGACACACACCTCCAGTGAAAAGTGGTATCTGAACCTGTCCTGATCCCTCTGATGACGGCTCAACTTAAGCCTTAAATTAGTGCCTGGTGCCTGTGTCAACATCAGCATTAAGAAGACAAATATGCTCGGGCATAATGCTGACTAAGCCATAGCTGCATGTGCCGTGCTCACATAGAGAGCTTATCAGCTACTCATGCACACACAGGCCATTGCTCCTTAGGTGTGGACATGGTACCCGATGATCCATTTGCATGGGTTTCAGATTCCTTTTGAGTTGAAAGCACAATGTATATCCGTCACAACATGCCTACCTATACACGCGCAACAACATGCTAATGGTATGCACATTATACGTAACCACATTTCCTAATGACACATCCGCTTTTGTGTCTCCTTAATTACTGCTGGCTTTTTTATTGAACAAATGTCACAGCGGTCTTTTAGTTCCCGTGTACGATCCGTCTTACATTGGATCAGTGATCCATTTAGGAAAATGTATCATATGATGATGATATCATTACTTAACGTGTACATATTTAGCTTTCTTTTTTTTTGTTCCTCATGTACAATTATTTGTAAAAACACCGCCGCATTACCGCGCGGGCCAACACACGAACCGGCGACATTAGTTTGGCGTCAAAAGTCGTCCGCCGATTCAAAGCCCCGCTGATCCAATTAGGATGAGTGCTGCCCATTCGTGTTCGAGTTCGCAGCGACGGAACCCTTCACTGCTGAAAAAAGAACCGCGCTTCCTGGCTTGGCACATTCCGATCCTCGGTCCCACGGTAGCAGCCCGCTAGCTCAGGATGATGTTGACTTTAAACGCGCTCACGTTTTAATGTGACAGTTCTTTTGTACACCCAATTAAACGCCTGCTAAAGCAAGTCCTCGTTCACAAGACTGAGCTGATAAATTCACTGCTTCTCAGTTATGCACTCCCGTTTTTGTTCCCCCCGCCCCCACATTTATTTTCATGGTTCCTGCTCAATACACTTAAAAGGAAGATTAAAGACTCCGCTGGCATTTTTACACTTGGCTGACTCGTGGCTTAAACCAGAAAAAAACATTCAACAACGGTGTTTGAACGAGAACATTTTGTAAGAATGTGCACTCTGAGCAAAGCAGTCGTCGCCTACAGCTTGCCAGGTAGCGGCTAAAATGCAGGAAAGTCGACGGGAGTGCCAAACAAAGCACGCGGTCATTTCAAGGGACTGAAAAGGAAACGGTACTGTATGGAAAGATGGAAATTTCTTTCACAACAAAGATCCCCCATATAGCCTCAATAGACTGTAGGTGCAAGTGCTGTTAGCGAGCACCTATGAAGGCCAGAACGGTACACGAGGGGGTGGGTGGCCAGCACCACCCCCGACCGCCTTTCTCTCCCTAGTGGCGATGTTTACACACCGCACCAGGCACTCATTTGAGGCTGAGTCGACCTAGGGGAGGTCCGGGACCGGTTCAGATAATCGTCACCGATGTTGGCCGTGAGCGGGAATCGAACCCGGGTCGCTGGGATTATAGTGCAGCGCGCTAACCGCTACACTATCACTGAAAAGGAAACGACACTGTATGGAAAAATGGAAATTTCTTTCACAAGCACGCGCACACACACACACACACCGACGTTCCTACAAACGCGTGAGATAGTGGATGCGTAAGTTCTCGTCAATAACATTTAACTTTTTTACTTTATCCACACTTTTTCATAGAGGGCGCTATTTATCCATGGCAGTCACCTACTTTTGTGCTTTGTCTGCCCCAATGTTGCATCTTCCAAACCACATGTCAATTGCAGTAATGGATTAATCAATATGTTCCACGCGACACACCTGGCAAAGAAAGTGCCATGAAGGAGATAGTTAAGAACACATGACCTCACAATGCTCGTGAGCACACTTCCTGGGCCACTTGCTTAAAACATATGCATTCATAAATACAGGTAGTCCCCGAGTTACGATGGTCCGACTTACGATATTTCGATCGTACGATGGCGATATGACAAAATTGTAAACTATTTTAAATGTCGCAAGCAAACGCAGCAGTGTACGAGATACGATGCTGTACGTTGGGACGCTGCTGGGATGTACGCATCTCCCGCCTTGTGTGGTGATGCCTCACTCTCACCAGCGGTCGACGGAGTTAAGTTGTCTCGGTGTTCAATGCAATGTTCAAAGTTTTTATAGCAGATAGGGTTGTTTCCTGAAAAAAACTTTCTATTAAATTGAAGTTCATATAGGTAGGCTAAGAATTTACCTTGTTTTTTTACTTTACATTTTACTGTGCAATACAGTATTGTAATTGATAAATACACACAGTATATAGTTTATACAGTATGGTACTGTAAATTGCTGTTTTGCTAAATTATCACTGTTCTTTAAGACTCCTGGGGGAAGGGCTAGGCCATCTTCGACTTACGATATTTTTGACTTACGATGGGGTCGTCGTAACGCATCTCCATCGCAAGTAGAGGACTACCTGTAATAATACTTAGAAAGACCATCACGCTAACATTTTCAAGCGCCAGAAGTTGCCAAAAGCTGCCCAATCCAAAAGGACACATTTCGGATTTATTTTTTTGGGCCTATTTCCCAAATTGTATTCCTCTTGTGCTATCGACCCCATTCCCATGAGATGAAGCATCCATTCAAATCTCTCAAGAGCTTTGCAACCTTCCACGTTAGAAAAGGCCAAGAGAAATGGTTATCAACTAACTCTACCTTTGAAATCTCTTCACATGACCTCCCCGGTCCACACAGCAGAGTGCAGCACTCTCCCACCCACACAGTGTCAAACCAATACGTTCAATTCTCAGAGATGGAATCGATACAAAATTAAGTGCAGAATAACATTTCAAGTAACAGTTTTTTTGTGCAGTAATTTGGAGACCGGACTGAAACCATGAACTCGCTACACTTGAGAATATGGTTTAACTCCCAGACTGCTACCTGGATTGGAACCCAGAATCTAAATCGGTGGACAAGTCGGCGGTCTGAGCTCCGAGTCAAGCCGGTCACCTATATGCAAGATTATCAGGAGTGAGTGAGAGAACAGACCACTTCGATGAATCAAAGTAAAGTTCCTTATCGGGAGCGCGAAGATTATCAGGAAAAACGTTGCGTGCCAGATGTGTTTCATGCAATGACACGTTACCGTGGGGCGACTATCGAAAGTCTACTGATCAAGAGCTTCATGGCTTATCGGATTCCTCCAGTATGAATAAAGATTCTGATTCTGAAGTCTCTGCCATGTGAAAACCATTTCCAAACTGAAAATGTTGTTTTCTCTTCTCAGCCTACTGGCTGGAGCCCAACATCTCAAAAGTGCTGGCGTAGAATCTGACAAGAGAAATTAACCTCGCACGGCCATCCAAGTTACTTCATTTATCAAATTCTTTTGAGCAATTACATGGAAATAAATTCAAAGCCCTGGATCGCTGCAACGTGTCTCCAAGTTACCGTTGACATCTGAAACAAAACATATCCATGATAATAAACTAAAACTAAACTATTTTTTTTCTTTTAAAATAAACTATTTTAACCAGGTAAGACCCACTGGAGCTTTATAACTCTTTTTTACAAGACACCTGGCCACAAATGCTAACCCAACGAAGCGGCTTATCACGTGGAAATTTATAGCAGCCAAATACTCAACGCATGTTTTGTTTATAAGTGTGGAGTGGGGAGGAACATTCTCGAAAAACTACTCGCATCTAAATGTTTTTGTGAACGAAAATCAACAAATTCGCCCGTTTTCTCACTGAAAATAGGTAAGTTAAAAAATATCACTGTCCTGGTCACAAAAGCGAAGTTTGTGAGGAATAATAGCCATTTTCTATACTTTTTAGGCATAAGCAATTACGAAATAACACTTACTACCCAGGAACAAAAATTGTGTTACATAGTGTAATCCATGCCCATTTTTGTATTAAACTGAATTATCACGTAAAACCATGCCATGTCTATGTACGAGCTGTTGGGACGAGTCCGGAGTTGGTTGCTGCTATTTCATATTATGGCTTCGTTCATGTGTGGGATCTGTGAGCGAAGGGGTTAAAGGGCAGGAGAATTATAATTGTGTCAATGCTGCACATGCTTTAAAACACTAATCCACCATGCTTAAGCTGGCATGCATGAAAAATTAAGCAAGCATCCGTACAAATTGAACATCTACTGCTCGTGCCAAAAAGTCTAGGCAGGTGCTATTAAAAAACATATCAATGTAAAGCGTCGTGTTTACAGCCCTTTGGACAAGCCATGGGGGCTGGACAAAGTCCTCCCCGTGCCGTTTCATCAAGGGGGCTGTTTGACTATATTTCACCACGCTGGTCAGTGAGGGTTGGCCAAAGTGGGCGGTCAGGACCGGTTAAAATATTACTCGCCACTGATTTTATCCGTGGCTGGGAATAGAACTCTGCTTGTTGGGTTTATTAGTGTCGTGCGCTAACTACTCTGCAACTGCTCCTCTCCATATGATAGGCACAACCTATTCACGTACACTAGTCAACAAATACTTTTGATTTTCATAATAAAGGTTTTTGGGTCAGATCGCGTTATTTATAAATGTGTCGTAACCCTCCACCACCCGACACGGCCAAACAGTAAAAATGTGTCACGTTTTCAAAGGACAAAATAATTAACTTCTTTCGCCCACCGGTGTGCTGAAGAGAGGATCAACAGCAGAATTATTTTGTCTTTTGTAAACGTGACACATTTTTTACTGTTTGGCCGTGTCGGGTGGTGGAGGGTTACGACACATTTATAAATAACGCGATCTGACCCAAAAACCTATATTATGAATAATATTGGTCGCGAAAGCCTCACACGTGTTAAATTTTGATTTTGATTTGATCCGTTGGAATTGCTCCAGTTGTAAGTTAAAGGACTCATTCTGGCTCGGCTTGGAATGTACTATTCCACAGACAAAAACTGTTTTTCATCCATGATCTACGCACCACTCAGCCAACTGCTGAGTGTCATTGACTACAATGAGTGTCACTGGCTACATTGACCGTGAATAGCTACGTCTTCTTACAGCTCAAACGCGTCAAGGGAAATTCAACGTACACAGTACAGGCTATCAGTCTCTTTGCTCTTAATTCGCTACGACTTTGATGAGACTAATGGCACTACCTAAGCATATTGGCACAAGACAGAGGAAAGTAATGTGCAGTGGACACCTACGGCCTATCTGCCCATAGATCATGATGATGACGATGAATGGCCAGTGGTTCCATAAACAAGTAGTAGATGAATTTCGATTTAAAGCTTTCGTGACTGCAGGGATTCATCTTCTTGGTTCTTTCGGTAAAGTCACGTAGAAGGGAAATAATAAAATAATAAAAATAAAACAGGTCTGTCGGAAAGACAGCGCTGTCTTTCCGACAGACCTGTTCTTCACCTGAGGACGGCTGCTTGCGTTGTGGCCGAAACGTCGTGAGAATTATTTTATCATGTTTCATTTTTATTATTTTATTATTTCCCTTCTACGTGACTTTACCGAAAGAACCAAGAAGAAGTAGTAGATGCCTGTCCAATCAACTCCAGTTTGTGGCATCACCGAAAGCAAACTGGCTTAGTTACAGGACCAATCTCAAGACCATTTTCCAGACACCCATCAGCAGCGGTGACAAGATTCCACAACCATGCACGCAAAACCAGCGGCATGTTTTTTTTCTTGTTAACTGCAGCAGTGTATACAGACACCAGCCAGTTGTCGGAATCTAACACGTATTTATCACTCTGCGAAAGGGGAGAGTGTGTCAATTCTCCTCTGGAGAATGAGCTAAACCCAAGGAGCTGTGTATCCCCTGCTCATCATCGAACAGATCAACGCCACAATGAGCCTTTGTTTATATTGGGTATGCTGTTGATTTCAGGGTACATTCCCGATAATTTGGTGGGTCCCAATTTTTTTTAATGGTGGTTTCGTGTCTGCCCCGTGTAATGTTGATTCACATTAAATGACCTAAATTTTGATTTAAAGCTTTCGTGACTGCAGGGATTCATCTTCTTGGTTCTTTCGGTAAAGTCACGTAGAAGGGAAACAGACCTGTTCTTCACCTGAGGACGCTGCTTGCGTTGTGGCGGAAACGTCGTGAGAATTATTTTATTATGTTTTATTTTTATTATTTTATTATTTCCCTTCTACGTGACTTTACCGAAATAACCAAGAAGATTAAATGACCTGTTTGAGTTTTTTTTGTTTCACAATTTCATTGCCATGAGCAAAACAACTCCACAACGACACCAACACATGAAACGATGTTTGGCTTGCGGATTATAATGGCTGGTCAATAATTTATAAAAATGCATCTTTCCAACACATTTAACAAAAAAATTAAACCACAACAACATACGCGGTGAAAACTGCAAATTAATTATTGTAGGCGGCATTTCAGATCAATGAAAGTGACAAAAATCAGGAGAAAATATAAAAATTACAAATTCCATGCATGCAATGTTGCCATCAGATTGAGATTTTCCAAGACTTATTATGAACACAATTTGTTGGCTGACACGTTTACGTCCAATTTATGTACCGGTGGAAATGGGTTTTATGCAAATATTGAGGAAAACATGTTTCAAACACCCCAGCAGTTGAACTGTTTTCTAACAAACATTGCAAAAAAAAATGGATTTGGCCTTAATCCCACAAACTAAATTAACTCTGACAAACCCTGTATTCCAAGCTGTGTATTTATGCTGCACAAGCTTCCACCTCATCTTCTAAACACTCAAAATACTCAAACATATACTCTGGGGGTTACCCTCTGTCTCGCCAGTTGGGGGGTAAATATGCGCCAGATTACTCACTGGAAACTAGGGGTGTAACAATTCAGCCACCACTGCCCCTCAGCCATTCAATGATGAATAATAAACAATAACAAACAATTCATAACCTGCGCATATTTCACCAATCGGACACAATGTTCGATTTACAACTCGGAAGCGTGGAGCCAGGGATATGTCAGCCTGCGATTGAGAATCGAATATTGAGTTCAATATTGTGGTCAATGTAGCGGCCACTAGTGGCTGCATGGGCCACATTTTTCCATTACACGCAACATGTACAAATCAAATCAAATAATGTTTGTAATCTAATGCATGCATGTACGCGAGCTTAGTAATCGATATTGCTCGATAATATTAATTGACTATGAATCTACGTGTAGTTCATTAGTTATTCCATCGTCTCATTATAATCTTTCTCCTCTATCCTTTCTTTTGACATTTTACTCATTTGCATTTTCAGATGCTTTGGCATTTAGGTACAAAGTACCATGCATGCTAATACTTGTTATTAAAATTTTGTTATTTTATTCAAGAACCCAGAATACAAAGTAGATTCCGAAGAGGCGGTGGGGGGGGGAAACGCGCGTAACTTCTAATAGCCGACACCGCTACGCTTCCCACAACATCGGCAGCCACAACTTACATGGTGAGGTTTTTGTTCAGCGTGTAGAACTTGTGACGCGCCTCGATTACCCGCGACAGATACTTTGCGGTCTCGATGTCCTCCTGCAACAGACACAAAGGTTTTCCTGCATCAAGTCTGCTGCGTCCCCTTGCTTTGTTTACAAAAGGCGCCGAGGGTCTTTGGTGCGAGCGAGCCCAAGACGGACACTCAGTCCGCAGTCGTCCTGTGCTATGGGCGATGTTACTCCCTTTGTCGTGCAGGCCACAGGGTACTCGGTAAGAGTTGTGCAGAGTGGTCATGAATGTACAACCGTTATTAAAAAATCATAATTATGAAGTGGTGGTGCGACGGTGGCAAGATGTTAACTACCTTGCCTGGTATACAGGAGGCCGTGAGTTCGATCCCAACCCTAAGGCCTGTATATTTGGAGTATGCATGTCTCTCTCCCCGTGGCCGCGTCGATTTTTCTCTGGTTCCTCCGGTTTTTCACTCGACGTTTAGAATCAACATGCGTTTAGAGTATTTGACTGCGATACATTTCCACGTGATAAGCGACTTTGTTGAGCTATCATTTGTGGTCAGGTCGCTTCTAAAACAGAGATATATAGCTCAGTGGGCCTTACCTTGTAAAATAAAAAATAGTTTCATAGTTATCGCACTGAACTAAAAATCCAGCCACACCCAAGTTTGGCCACGACCTAACACAGGCCAGCATGGTGAGGTATGGTAAAACAAAAACATGACATGAGGCCTTAATCCAGTGGTGGATTAAAAAAAGGATGTAAAACGAGAGCACAATCCGAGCTAGGTCGATTACATTATATATATGTGCAAAGACAAACATCCCCCATTATAGCATTTAACATATTGTTGGGGCAAGTGCTACAGCATTGCCCCAACAATATGAAGGCCGACACGGCACACAAGGGGATGGATGTCCCAACTGCCTTTGTCTCCCCAGTGATGATGTTTACACACTGCACCAGGTACTCATTTGAGGCAGAGTTGACCTAGGGGAGGCCTAGGATCGGTACATATAATCTTCACTGGTGTTGGCCATGAGCAGGAATGGAACTCGGGTTGCCGAGTTCATAGCGTAGGGCACTAACCACTACACTACCCATCTTACACATATATATACATACACAATTGGTGATATGAATATATTATCACACCAGTCTCATCTCGATAATCTTCCACATGTTTGCAATGGCATCGGCAACAAGGATCATATCAACATTTGGGAGCCCATCTTGGCTGTGACGGTTTCAAATTCTTCTATTCAGTGCTGCTGAAATTCACTTAAGCCATTTGGTTAAACAAAAAAATACGTAAGTATAGAAAGGATGCATTGCTCAAAATTCAAGTTCAGCAGTTCAAACTGGCGAGTGATTATTATAATTTCATATTTGATGATACCTTCAGGGACACCCTGAATAACAGCCGGTTCTGCAGCAACTTGACGGATTATGGATAAGTCTGCAGTCTTCAAATAGCACCCACTTACAGTGAAGGTGACCTTTAGGTGACAGTATAGCAAATATGTTTGTGAACTTTAATTGCAGAGTTTAAGTGTACACGCCTTGTACGTGGAATCTTTCCAAAGATTCCAGCACCAAACAAAAACACTCAACATGCTAAAAACGAAACCCATACCAACAGCAACTGACCAGGGGGGGAAGGGGGGGAGGGGGGGAAGGGGGGGAAGGGGGGGGGGGTCTTAACACTAAGTGAAGTAATCATGATGAAATAAAGAAAGTAAAGAACTAATCACTTTAAATGCTTTTAACTTGGTCACACTGGCAGATGGTGTACCAGAGGTGCAATATCAGAATGTACCCCTTAAAAAACACACACACAAACGCTACATTCCGCCGCTAATGGAAGAGGCATGCATGCAGCTGTAAGCATTAATCACTGGCTGTTCCACTCACTAAAGGTTGAAGCGCCCACCCCCCCCCCCCTGCTGTCTCGACCACCAACACAAACAAAAACGACGAAACAATCTAACCCACTACAAGCCACACGAAGTCGGTACAAAGCACGGCGCCCGCATGCGCTGCCACAAGCCTCCCGGTGTGCGTTATGTCCACGGCACGTCGCAGCGTGCGGTCACATTCCCGCGGCAGCCTATCATCTCCGCAACGTGTGCGTGACTGTCGCCGCCGGAATGCTGCGGGTAACTTCACGTGTGGGTGCAACTGCCGAGGACTCTTTTTTTTAACGTGGCGACCAACGCAACCGCCATCGCCGCGGCCAAAAACAACAACAACAACCGTATTTGCAATCTGGGAGAATATACCGCAATTCTTTTGGCGTGTTAAGTTCTTGGAATCATTTTTTGTTTCTTTGTCTAATCTTCCGTGCAGGCGCCGGAAACAAGCGGAGGTTTGTGTTGTGACGGTTTGAATCGGCGCTTTAAGTTCGTGTTGCAGGGGTAATAATTGCATTGGAAACATCTACTCTGGCTGGGAACTTACTCGTAGTTGAAATGCTAGGGATTCACGTTTGGTTTGCGATCAAATCAACCGGAGTTTTTTGCAACAGAACAATTGCAATCAGTTCGGCGAATCAAATCGACCCAGAAGCTGAATCCGAAGGTCTCTAAGTTTTCATTTTTATCAATGCCACTAGATGGTGCATTGTTCCTCTCTGTCCCAACATTTGGAAGTCGCTCACTCTACTCTCCCTATAGTCTGTATATCCCTTTACCCCCAGCCTCCTGTGCAATCGACTCCCTGCCCTTGTTTAAGGCCAGGTGCAAGACCTTCCTATGTTTTCCCATTCCTCTGCCAAGCATGGACTTGCCATCCCCTCTCTCATTAAAACCAACAATGCCCACCGTTTCTGTGCTAGCGTATTGCGAGTTGCAAAAACCGGGCTCTCATCGAGCGAGACGCTGCATAAAATCCTCGAACTTTTGTGCGCGCTGTGTCGTTCTCTCACCAGCTGGTAATGCAGGCTCTCGACACGGCCGGTGAGCTCGATCACCAAGGCGGACTTGCTATGAGACACGTGCGAGATGTTGCTCCACCTGCGCGTCGAACAAATAGAAAGCAGCGGACGCCGCTCGGTCACTTTCCAACGGCAACAACGTTCGCGATCGTAGTTTTTTTAAACTATAAGCTATTTTATTTTATTTTACCAGGTGAGGCTCACTGAGCTATGACGCTCTTTTTCATAAGTGACCTGGCCACAAATGACAGCTCGTAGAAGTGGCTTATCACGTGGATATTTATAGCGGCCAAATACGCATGTTGATTACTGTGGAGGGAAAAACCGGAGGACCTGGAGAAAAATCCACACGACCACGGGGAGAACATGCAAACTCCAAATATGCACCCACGACCTCCTATATACCATACTCTTTGGTTCTTTCGGTAAAGTCATGTAGGTATAAAATAAAATAAATTAAATGACGACGTTTCGGCCGCAACACAAGTGCCCATCATCAGGTGGAAACAATTGCTGAAGTGGGCAAAACGTCGTGATTTAATTTATTTTATTTTATACCTACGTGACTTTACCGAAAGAACCAAAGAGTATGGATTCCTGCAGTCACGAAAGCTTCAAATCCTGTATACCAGGCGAGGTAGTTAACATCTCGCCACCACGGCGATCATGCTGCAACAACTCGATGCCAAGCCGTCGACAACGTGTGCAACTGATTCAATAAAAGGTAACCGCAGACGAATGAGCATTTTGATCAATGTTCAATTTCACCGAAATGGAATTACGGAAAAGGACACAACAACAACCGAAAGCGCAAAGCTTAAAAATCAGCCATCAGATTTGGGAGCTTTATCAGATACATATGTTTAAACAACAAGTTGCCAAATATCAACACATTTTAAAGTGTAACATATCTGCAGTGTGCTTGTAAATTCAATTACCACAAAAGTGACCAAACATATACTTTAAAACAAGCGTACAATGCTCCATGTAAATGTACAGCCCTTGTCCCAATCAACGGTCAAGATGAGGGTCTCACCATGGCAGGCAAGATCGTGGGGGGGTTTATTTGACCATACTTCACCATGCTGGTCAGTGCGGCTTTGGTTGAAGGTGGGGGAAGGAGCATTAGCCATAGGAACATAAAAGTACAGTGCAACAACTGATTTTGCTGCAATGCCTTCTGCTGCCCCATCATGTAACCATGCAGCCCAAAACACCTGTTTTATGAATGTCTGTAACCAATTCAAGCGCTATCCAAGATCAGACACACCAATCCTATCCTGTATGATTTGGTCACAGGCGAATGCTGCATTCGCCTAACATTTATTTTTCCCTCTGAGATCAAACAGTCATGATAACATCATTGACTTGAGTGTACTTTAAACCACTGCCATGGCAATGTTGAATTTCAACCAATTGCTCTTGGCCGCCAACAGAGAAGAAAACAAGCCCGACACTCAGCTGAGCAGGTAGACAGACCGCTCGGGCTTTGTTCCCGTCACGGCTTGGCTCTGGTTTTGCCTCTTTCACGTGGCTCGGCTCACGCTTGAACCGGCTCAGCTGTTGCTCTCGGAAGATGCTCGAGCGGCTCAGCCCTGGCTCGGCTCAGGCTCAGCTCACGGTAATTCCCAAGCACGGCTGGGACCATGCTCACAGGGGCAGCTGAAAGTTGAGCGTGACTTTGAGTTCGTCTTCGCTTGAGCTACTACAGCCAATGCTCAGCCGAGCCGTGACTCATAATACGGGCGCCCCCAGGCGTTACTGAAATAATAACAATAATTAGAAATTTTTACTATTACGATTATTTAATCCTTTATAAGAAGCTTCCACACGATCGCCCATGGGAGCTGCTTGTAAAAAGCCCCTGCGGATGTTTTATTATGGTTTTTGTGTGATAGGAAAGGCAAGATAAAGCCTTCACTCGACCGAGTGGCCAACCCTGGCAGGAGAAAACGGAACAGCACACACACCAGCATTCTCACCCTCATTACTCACTTCCGACAGGGAAAGCGTGAGTTTGGGTCTTGCGGGCGCTTAATCGTGGTTTTTCTACCGAGAAATATAAAAGCAAGACGTTTTAAAATAGTGGCTAGACATTGTGAAATGTAATAACACAGTGTAATTCTAACTTTGAAAAAACCCACAAAGGAAAATGGTGATGGAAATTGCACGAGTGAAACTATATATTCACCACTGGCTGAACGGATGTATGCAGAGACAGGAAGAACACTCAAATTATTCGCAGAGAGGCCAGGAATCTACTTTCTCGACTGCATACGAAAGGCACCCCCTGTTGTTCAGCTGCTGTGTGTGTGTGTTCACCGCTTGATACGTAACCACACCTCTAAGTTGCTAAATTACAGGCATGAGCTACCACATCCATTATACAGGTACATGCATGCATGTGTATGCATTAAAAATGGTGTTTGTTTTTACATCTTACCCTGGTCACATTCCAATTGTGCTATCAGCATCCTGTCATTGGACAATGAAACTTCCACTCGGACCTCTGCAGCTTGCTGTGAATCGCAATGTGTCAGAGAAAATGGGTCCGGAAGATGACCTCACAGAACTAATTCTGAGTTCAGTTCAAGAGGCATCTTCATACACACTAGGATTATGCCTTTTTATACGCCCCGCAAAGAGGGTTCGCTGCACGTCAAACAAACTGCAATGTTGAAGTCTCACAGATGGAATTTAGTCCAATTTAGTGAAAAAAAGCATTTTATTTTAATTTGGTGACCAGGCCTGAGACCATCAAATTGCTGCACTTAAGAGCCCCATGTAATCCCAGGTGTCTGCTCAGATCTAAACAAAAAATGTCACTAAACTTTTTATTATACCAGGGAAGGCCCATCAGAAGTGACCTGGCCATAAATGATAGCTCAACGAAGTGGCTTATCAAGTGGAAATTCATAGCGGCCAAATACTCAAAACGCATGCAAACTCCAGAATATACAGCAGGCGTCAGGGTCGGGATCCGACCGAGGGTCTTCGCTGTGCCAGTTCAGTACTTTGCTGACCCCTAGGCCACCCAACCACCTCTTGGGGTGTTCACTGGTAACTTGGTCTAGCCCTCTTACGATATGCAACTCTTAGTTTAAGTTTGGATGGCACAGTGATAACACATGTGCCTCACAGCAAGAACGTTTCTGGGTCCAACTCCCAATTCGGGCGACTTTCTGCGTGACGTTTGTGTGTTCTCCCCCCCCCCCCCCTCCCCTGTTCTGCATGGGTCTCCTCCAGGTTCTACAGTTTCCTCCCAACGCAAAAAAACCCGTAATATTGCTGATAAATTTCCTGCAAATTATTAACTCGGGATTACACATAGCAGCATCGTCCCAACCAAACCACCCCTCCCCCTGCCCCAACTACTGCGAACACTTGGCAGGACCCTCCCTGAAAGAGGCATGAGACTGAGAGAGACTTAAATAATAGTATTAAAGAAGAGAATCCAGGAAGCCGCCCCGACCTGAACGTGACGGGAGGTTTTTCGTTCCGGTGGCGGACAAATACTCCGTTGTAGGAAGTTCCCAGCAGAACGTCGCTGCCGGATGTGTCCTGCAAGAAGATATGGCCGTCAGGTTTGCACACCTATTCGTTGACGAGAGAAAAATAGCACAACTTAATTTTCACTGGCGAGGAGTTTTGCTTGACGACTTAAAAAGCACGCACGCTCAGCTCCGGTTGGCAGTAAGCAACGTACAGCTGTCCGCACACCGATCACTGTACAGCCACTGTCTCTCTGTCCATCCGTCACCTCCTCTACCGCTACCGTCACACGACCGTAGCGCAGATTTCTACAACACAGTCTACGTGTGTTTGGCTCTCGTCTGCACTGCATCCAGCGGGTTAAATGCAGCTCAGCACTGGAAAAGCTCACGTAGCCCGACTCAATTCTAGAAGCTTGTCAACTCTCGCAAGCTTAGCCTTAATCAAGGACGTCTCGAGCCTCCGCTTGGCGAACGCGAAATAATATATAACATGGCAACTTTTCTCGGCCTCATTTTAAGCATTTCTGACAACACCGCAAAGGGCAAGGGAGCCAGCGAGTTAAAAAAAAAATTGCGTGACATTTCCACTGCTGCAGCCACAAGCGCAGAGGTGAAAATGCCACAAGCACAGAGGACCCCCCCACCCCTCAACGGGGCCTTGCACAAGCCGCGCCTCGCTGCCATCGAGGCCCTGCGCGACCACTCGGCGCCCTCGGCTCCAAACGCCCAAACCGTCACATCGTGGCCAGAGGTCAAACAGACGTGACTAAAGGGGAGAGCACGGTGGAGCGGAGATGGTGAAGTAGGAGGAAAAAATTAACCCGTAAAAACAAAGTTTTTCACTATAAATCCTTTATATGCGTGTTCAATGGGCCACAACCCAGCCCACATTGGTCTTTGAAACGGGCGGCTAGAGTCCTCTCGTCCTCTGGCTTGAGATGGCTGCCACCTATGGGTCAGATGATTGTCTGCCACCATTAAGCAATTGGTAATTAAAATGTTGAAAAAAAATTTCACGAAAATACATTGTCACGCACAACGAGTCTGTGTGCAAAATGTCAGCTCGATTGGATCACGGGAAGTGGGTTAAAAAACGACCGAAAGATTTGCACGGTCGTAAGCAAGAAAGCAACCAAGTGAACTTAATATAAAGGATTTAAAAAGGGTACGTGGAGCAGAAGGGTGAGCAGCGAACAATCACACTTACGGTGCCGGTATAATTAGAGCTGGAACAATTCGCCAATTAAGTGGGAGCTTCATCGACTATGATTTTGTAAAGGACTGCTTTATTTAGGTCGATTACTCTGGCCCCTTTTAAAAAACGGCAACCCCCCCCACCCCGCCGAACATCCTGCCTCCCGAAGTCAGGAAGCCCCAGAGAAGCCATGCACAGCATGACACGGCTGAAAATGACAATGACGTCATCACGCCCCGCCCATCACTTCTCGTCCAGCGGCACACGCGTGGACAAATGCGAGATCTTTTCCCATAACTCTCCATGTTATCCGATTAGTCGAGGAACTGAAGCGATAATCGGTAGAGTAATCGACCACGTAAATAATCGGATAGTCCAGCTCTCGTCATTAATATTCTCATTTCCAGTGGTTCTACATTCACTCAATGTAATATTCGTCTCACCATTGTTCAGCCAATCGGCGTACTGCAGTCGACAGGTCAACCAATCACTTGGCGGTCGAGACCTGCTTTGCATGCGCACGCCGAATGGGTAACACCGCAAGTGAGAACCGGTAATAGGCGCCACAAGGACTAGAGTCAAACGGCGTGAGAATTTTATTGTTTTATTTTTATTATTTCCCTTCTACGTGACTTTACCGAAAAAACCAAGAATATGAATCCCTGCAATCACGAAAGCTTTAAATCGAAATTTAGAGTCAAACTATTAATTAACCACTCTGCCCGGTCCACGCAGCTATTATGAACGTGAATGCTCAAGTAATTTTATGCCAATTGTTTGAGCCACTGAATTCAGTCGATACCAGAGCAGTGGACACGTTTTTTTCCCATTTTGAGAAACAATGTAGGACAGCAGCAATGGCTTCAGAGGGCTCTATATTCAATTGGCTGATGTGCCTCACTGATGGGACTTGCTAGATGAGCAAGCACATGAATAATTCATGTTCCCTATTAAGGAAGGCACTCGCTAAAAGTAAGCATTGCTCGTAATAAGTGAGAGGACGCGCACAATTGGTAATGCACGTTTAAAAATAAATTAGGAACACCGCTGTATTAGCATTGTTTAGGTCTCTGCGTTATATAAACGGGAGCTATACGTGGGGTTACAGTTCCCCACTGCCATTAGAAGAGATAAAAATCATAATAAAAAAATGAATGCATAAATAAATAATTAAGCCGTCAAACGTCTAAATATAATTGTGTTTTTCATCACTTTCCATAGCAGGCCACTTATATTGCTAGGCAACAACCTCCAGAAATCACCGCTAAAATTGAACACGTCAACATTACACATCGCCATTATCAGTGCTGCACTGACGTGGCATGCATTGTGCACGTTCTAATTTGCTCGAATTCACAACGAGCTCTACTCAACTGCTGCAGTTGGTTCCTCGTGGATCGCTGGAGAGATACAACACACGTCGCAACGTGATTGGAAACGGCTGAAATGCCCTGCCTGTCCAGCCCCCTCTGCTATTATTCTGTCATCAGCGTTCCTTGTAAACGTATTTATTTTTTACTTCTTTAAGAGGGGGGTAAAAAAGGCTTTTTCCCAAAACTGTATCCCGTCGTGCGGTCTACATCATGTTACGAGACGAGGCATAAGTTCGCATCTCTCGCACAACCTCTCATGTTTGAGAATGACCCATGGAAGCGGACACCACAGAGCTACCTTCGAGTTCTGTTCCAGTGGGGCCTGGGCTACCACTGCACTTTTCCACCCCACTCTGCACTGTGGGCAGCAGATGGCAGTGCAACTAAATCTACTGTTGTACTGCACAATGTTCCATACGTCTATGCTCCTGGCCTTTACCAACTGACATTGACCAGCGTGGTGAAGTAGGTTCAAATAAACCGCACGACCAAATGCAGTGAGGGCAGGGCCCTTCATCTATTTTATTCTAATTAGGATTAATCTAGCGCCCTTTCCAGGGTGCTTTACAATGCAAGTCGACAGTGGTACACACAGGGGGCAAAAGAGGAGCAACGGGTGGGGTGGAGCGGCTGTCATCCAGCAGTGAAATGACAAAAAGAGGGCAGCACGCATACAATGTTAGGCATTTTAAAAGGACATTGAAATAAATTGAAACCCGGACCTACAGAAGAAAAGCACATGGGTTAGAATGCACAATTTTTTTACCTACGTGACTTTACCGAAAAAACCTAAAAGAATGCACAAACTGCCACGCATTTGAGCCACAATGAAAGATGCACCTACGCGCATGGTTAGAAGCCAGCGTGGGCACTTGATGTCCTTAGTAAAAACGAGAAGACCGAAAAGAATTGTAATTAGACTGTGTACCGAGCCTGCTATCAGAAGCAAGTTTGAAAGTAATTTTTAAGGGCCAATGCCAACGTGAGCTCCTTTGGCATCGCACCAATGTGATTGCTATTGCCGGTAACAACAGGCTCACGTTATGACATGCAGTGCATGGTGGGAGCTGCCTGTGTTAAACCAACACGTTTCAGAATGCACTGGGGTAATTCAAATCACCTAATAAAACTGCGATTAGGGAGGCGATTATGCAAATCAAAAGACAATGGGGAATTTTCCTTTTCCAGAAAAGTGATTCATGTTTTGTCTTTCCCCCCAGTTTCCACCGCCATTGTGCCACGAGGCGAAGACTCAAAACTGTCCAAAACAGCAGCGCCTTGGAGGGCAGCCCATGGAAAGTGATGTCGCAACAACACAAAAACTGCTTCCGAGATCCCTTCAAGCGACCTTCACTTCATGCACACACTAGGGGGAGCATTTTCCCACATACACTGCCACACTTGAGACGATTGTCGCACGCCAGTCTAGCAGATATGTTTTTTTTTCCTCTCTCTCCCAGAGCTGGAAGATAATGTCGATGGTGTATTCTTTTGCGTGCATTCACTGGCTAGCAAGCCGAGACTAACATAAACTCACTACGACGCTTGAGAACTAGCTTTACCCATGGGTGGCTACCCATATGCAAATCCAGGATTTCTCTGCAGTGCTGGGCTCATTTGCCCCTGAGCCAACCGGCCACATCTTGCACGTTTCATTAGTAACTTGGTGTCGTAGCCCTCTGTCGCCTCAATATCTACGCGATGTATTTAAAACCGTCGCACCTCAATGGAGGGACGCTCGCTTTTTGAGAACAAAATAAAACGTAGGCGTTTTTTTCGGGCTGCGTTTCACCGTCAACACATGGTCTATCCGGCCTCACCTTGGCTGAGAAGCTCTCTTCCCCATAGCCCTCCAGCTTCTCTGCCTCCTGGATGTACAACAGCTCTGCCTCCGCTGGCCTCATGCCTCTGGTGGGGGGGGGGAAATATACGGACAAAGTCAGTCACACGAGCTGCCCGAGAAATGGTTTCTCCCGGAATAAGCTCCCTGCAAATCCCTTCAGAACACCCACTGACAAACGATGATCTTAAAATGGTCCCAGAATAGTCGTACAAGCTGTCCTATGACCAGCCATGGCCGAGGGCTCCATTATGTGCTCCCAATATACAAGTGCAAAAGTCGCCCCTCCCCTACCCACCCACGTTCTCATCGAGCTGATAAAATATGTATGCTTTGTGGGAGAGTTTTTTTTTATTCAGTGAGCAACAAGGCTTCCCAGTACAGAGGACCTTTTATATTTAATTTATTCATTTCGCTTTGCGCTCATGCGGCTAACGACCTCACACCCGCGTGCAAATACGCCTGTAAATACGCCAGGAAATATGTTTAATCCACGCAGCGTTATTCACCGATTAGAGAGACAAGAAATTTGCACGCACCGCATACAAGCTTGCCTATAACATGCCACATAGTCGACCAGGCTGGTAAAATATAACTGAATGTTCAATTGCCTTCATGAGTCATGCTTGCCAAATATTGCACAAGCCCTGATATATTTTTTTTATACTTTCCACCTCTGAATTTCATTTGGGAGAGACTATGAAATTGATCGCTTGCTTTGACTGCAGGCTTAACCTTGTTCAGTGAAGGATTCTTCTTCAAAACTTTGTTCGTATTTGCCACAAGCAATGCACGAGTAACAAACAAAAACCCTGATTGCTGTAGCAGTGCGGTGCATTTACAGATACCCCACTAAAATAACAGCTAAACAGAGAACAAAACTGCATTTGAATTCAAAGCTTCGACCACATCTTTCTGAGAGATCCGAATCCGCTCGTTAAATATTTTTAACGCAATCTCTCATCCGTAAAATTAAAATATGCAGCCGTTTCTTTTTCAAGATGAAATCAACCTGCCGAGTACAAAGAGGGTCATGATAAAACAGTGGGACGTCTACAAATGGATCGCCGTGTTTATCAACATGTAGACACAATGGATGTACCTTGCAGTGTGTAGACCACTGTCCTCCAAAGGCAAACAAACGTCTACAAATCACAATCAGGATATTTATTTGTCCTGGAGGAATCCGATGAGCTACAAAGCTCTTTTCACGAATGTTCAGTAGAATGAACCTGACAACAATGGCCATTACTTTCTCTCTCTGCACTCACCGCGGCCCACAATACCCACTCCCCTACTCTTTCTCAAACTCTCCTCCTCCCTCTGATTGCAGGCTTCCCCCCAAACAAACATAGGCACAATGCAGCGAGGTAGGCGAGAGATTCGCTTAAGGGGGTCAAAGATTAACGGAACGGTGAAATCGGCAAGCAATGTTACGGCACCACTCAAGTAACTCATGATAAAGGTTTTTGGGTTAGCTCGCGTTATTTAGAAATGTGTCGTAACCCTCCACCACCCGACACGGCCAATCAGCAAAAAAGTGTCACGTTGACAAAAGACAAATAGTTCACTACTTTAGCCCACCGGTGTGTTGAAGAGTGAAACAAGAACATTTACAATATTAGAGTACGACGTTTCGCTGGTAATTGCATCCAGCATCATCGGGCAATTCGCCACTCTTCAACACACCGGTGGGCTAAAGTAGTGAACTATTTGTCTTTTGTCAACGTGACACTTTTTCGCCGATTGGCCGTGGTGGAGGGTTACGACACATTTATAAAAAAACGCGATCTAAACCCAAAAACGTTGATTATGAATAATATTGGTCGCGAAAGCCTACGTGTTAAACCACTCAAGTAAGATTTAGAGTTGAGGCTTGCGCTGGGCACCTCCTCCCGGTGTGTGTTGGCGCTGTTACCGCCTGTTGGTCGGCGTGATGTCTGACGCTTCACTCTGCATGATGGGAGCTGCAATGCTCATCTGCAATTTTATTGAGGGACTGTGTGTGGTCTGGGACCGATTTCGCTGTTGTTTTGCTGCCTTGTCCAAGCTTTGGACTTGGCGTACTTATGCAATTGTAACTTCTATACTTAATTTATTTAATAACTATTTTTTATATATTTTTTGTGATTTGCTTACCTTTCCTATACTTTGCACTCCTCCCGTTGTTTCCACTGTTTGTTGTTCTAACTTGCTGACCCAGCCCATACTGGACGACTGTGAAAAAATAGCTTCAGAAGCTCGTCGGATTTCTCCAGGATAAATAACGATTCTGATTCTTCGGGAATTGAGGAACTATTCCCCAGATCCTGAAGAAGCTCCTGACACTCGGAGCGAAACGTCGGACACCGTGCCGAACAACACGCGGCACAATAAGTATACATTTATTATTTACCTATTGTTACTTTTATATGGGTAGACAGAGCAATGCAATTCACTACATTATCATCCTCTATCATGTATCGTCATCATGTTAATGGAATGCAATTGTTCAGCATGTTGTGTTAGGGACAATTTAAATTATCCGCAGTCCAAAGCTCAATAAATATTTATTTTATCGATTCGTTGTGAATATTTTGCGCATGTGGCCCAGCAAGGGACTCAACTTTTGTTTACATTGTGATCCTGGTGGTAATTAAGGTCGCATTCCATTAAATCGGCAGAAAAACAGACGCAACAAGTCCAAGCAGCAGCGCGAGACGAAAATTGCTTTAGAGGCCCCAGAGCATTTTTGGATTCCAGTGAACTTAACGCAGCTGCACAAAAATCGAGGTTTGAAAAATAAATGTTGCCAAGCAAAGACATGTCTTTCTTTTTTCAACAGATCCTGATGATACCAGCATTGCAAGACATCACAGAACTCTGAAGGATAATCAAGCAGCAGAGAACTTTTTTATTTTACTATAAAACAGCCCTTTGCGGACCACACACACGTTTTGTTGTAATGCTTTGGCTAGCTGCTTACATTCTCGGAAGCGATCAGTGCATTAATCACACGAGATAATGTGTTGCACAACAGAGTGTGGTGCATGAGTACAGCGTCGAAGTGCGTCCCTGTAATTAAACGAGCTCTGGGCTGCTCAAACATCTCCGCTGGTGGTCTGAGGCGATGGTCCGCATTCTTGTGGCAAAGCGCAGTCTGTCCGCGCCGCGTGTAACAAAATTTACCCCGAGCCCAGAAATCCCATGAATTGTCGCAACATTCGGGTGCCACGATTTCGATTCCAGCAGAGATTATTTCTCGTCTTAACGTGTTTGCGTCTCGTCGGTCATGTTTGTAAAAAAAAAAATCCCCATCCTCATTTTGTACAGTTTTGAGCATGCTATTAACCAAAATGTAACGCGAGTGCGTAATTTTATTAGGACGCCACTGGAGTTACGCGCTCACAGAACGGAGGACACCGTGTATACGTCAGCTCATTGCAACCTTCCAACACAAAAACGGCAAACATCCCACGTATAAGCTGTAAGATTGAAAACTCGTCTTTTAATTAACTGCTTTGCGTTTAGTTTGTTGTCCTTCCCCTCACAACTCCGATTAGCACAATTGGCTACGTACGGTGCGAAATATGTTCAACATACATACATACAATTTGAATATAAGTAGCATGAATCGTCAATAACAGACCCTCCCTCGACACTAAAATAGAATAATCGTAATTATCAAATCGATTTTTATAAATTAATCGGCGCATAGTGACATCCGTACCGTACATAGGACTCCCACTGCTGTTTTTCCATCAAGTGGTACTCATTTTATAAACCAGGTAGAGATGATGGGCCGAGCCAAACGCTGAGGATTTGAGCTGGGCAATCTTCCACAGCGACACCCCACTTAGCAATTGACAGTAAACCTCAAGCTCATACAGAGGTGGATATAAACATTTAGAATTCTAGACATCTTGCAAGTCTATGTCTGTTGAACTTCTTTTGCACCGTATCCAACCGTGCTAATCGGAGGTGCGGTATAACAGTGGTTGTGTATAATTATAACACTTTACTCAGTAATTTCGCAACACATTTGGCAATAAACACTGCCTTAAATGAAATAAATATATAACAGGCGATGTTTGGACAATAGCCCTCATTCGTAGCAGAAGGATGGCCATCTCTTTTCGTGATTGTCAAAAGTGTTGAGGTTTTGTTATTTGTGCACCACAGCCAAAGCAGTATCGCAGAAATGTCTCCGTGATTTGTGTTCCGCCAAAACAAAATGGTTTACTTACTACAATATTAACTCTGTAATTTCCATTCCCTAGCATACATTAAGCTGCTATTACCATGTAATTTTCCTCCGGTGGTGTGGAAATGTGTGTACTTTATTCCGAACAGCAACAAACATAACCCCTATTAACCACTACTGAAACCTTATACGACATCCTGAATGTATACGTGTGCCCATGCTTGTGTGCGGGAGGTGGTCATGAAGTGGGTGGTGAGAGCATTGACCTACGAACCTGACGACTTCAGTTCGCTTCCCAGCTACGGCTTAAAATTGCGGCAAGAAAATATCTGAACTGGTTCTGAGCCTCCCCTAAGTTGATTTCAGTCTTCAACGAGTACCTGATGCGGTGTGTAAACGTGAGCACTTGCGCAGGCTGGGCGTGGTGCCAGCCACACCAGCCACTCCCTTAATAGGTGCTCTCTAACAGCACTTGCCCCGGCAACTTCTGTACTGGGATCTTTGTGTACGTGTGAATGTAGGTCTGTTGAGAACCTAGCCTGGCACAGATTAGGACGGTTGCCTATGTAACGGTGCGAAAGAAGTTCAACAAAGAGTACGCACATACAGGATGATGCCTTGGTGACGTCAACTACAATTTAATGGTGAACGGCAACTGTTGCTGATTTTGTATTTCTCTGTGAGAGTTTCAGTCTGCCAAGAGATAGTACAATTCCAAGGCGATTATAGACTTAATATTCCAGCCAGTGTACTCGGGTGGGTCACATAGGTGTATTATCTCATTGCCTGCATACTATTTTCTAAGGGTGGATGGGAGAGATACTTTTGAATATCCAATCCACTTATTTGGATAACTGGAACAATGTCCCATTTAATCCTTGTTGTGGTTGTGTTTATAGCTTAGGATATGTTAATTTATTGGCCACTATACGTCATGTGCTCTCTATCTGAAACAAATAGGAATGTGGGCTCTGCGTCTAATCATTAAGGTTTACAACTAACTGCGTGATGAGAAATGTTGTGTAATAATTTTCATCACCTTATCAATCAACTTCTGGATGTCTCCCAATGCCATGTTCGTGGTGGGTTTTTGTTTCTGTTGTATCACCTTACTTGACCTCGCTGGTCATAGTTGGTTTCATGAAAGGGGGGGGGGGGGTGCCCCCAGGAGTTGCGCAGATATTGCGTCACTGCTGATGTCAACTGTGGCCAGGAATTCAATTCAGGTTGCTGGATTCACAGCATAGTGAGATAACCATTGCTCAACTGTCCTAGCAAACGGTGCATATACACAATCTGTGGCTCTGCAAGACCGATAATCGAATCTGTGAATAACGAGAAAACCCATCATGACAGGATCATCGTGCAGACCAGAAAACCCATAAGACTTTTTGCATTATGCAAAAACTATTAGCAGTTCCTGAAGAACTGTGTGGTTGTCCTCTTGTCTTCCTGTGAGCTACAACACAATTAGAATTAAAAATTGGTTTACAGATGATTAAATTATTCAATTATATCACATTCATGACCGTGCCGATGGTGGCCATGGCACCATCGGCATCAACTTAAGGACCAGGGTCAGGAAGCGCTTTCACTCACGTTCTGAGCTCCTGTTAACAACCTAATGATGTTGGATACAATCTCCTGGAAAACGTCCATTTAAATGTCGTGAGGTTATTCTCCAACAAACACCGGTGGCGCAGCTGGAGCAGTGACACATTTGGCCACGTTTCATCCACGAGACACTTTGATTAATTGCCTGTGTCGGGTGCAGGAGGTTTTACGACACGCATCTTATTTACACAACGACCTAACCCAAAAGAAACCAATCACTCATTATTTTGACTCAAACTACAAAATGAGTACACACTAATGCGTGGCTACAAACCAACAAACTCTTCTTTATTTAGCACAAATAGATTGTTGTATGTGGTTTGCCAATACTGCCAATACGCAACAAAGACTAAACACATTTGCCAATATCACAGACTTAAAAAATGTGGGGGGGGAACAGCACCCAGATAATTTATGTGCTACAAAGAAGGGCCCCCCATTCCCCATAACCTCGTCGTTCATGACATTTATTTCACTGTTAAGGCAGTGTTGTTGATGAAGGTGTCGGGGTTTCGTTATTTGGGCCAACACCGTATCGCCATTTCATTCGTCTATGAACATTGTACACATGTGTTGTTGGCGAGTCAGCGCAGGCACCAGAGATGCTAGTGAACGTAGCAAGCGGAAACGAAGCATCATATTTGTAAGGATTTTTTGCACAATTGTTGTTTCAAGTGCCAAATCTATAAAACGCATTAAGAGTCAACAGGGGTAGTAAAGATTTCTGAATAAAGAACAGAGCTAAACGGAGCTAAATTCTACTGAAGTTATATCGCAACACGGAAGACTAAGGGTTCACCTTGCAAAAATGAAGTATCTTATTCTTCAGTGTGTATTTTGGGGCAGAGAAAAGAGAAAAACGCTCTTCAATTGTAAAAATAAATTCCACAAATTCCGACAATTTTACTGCCACTTGCAAACCTGATAACGGAGAGCCATAAGAATGGCTGTTCTCGATAAGGGTTATAATCAGTCAAAGGCACCTTGTTGACTTGAAGTCTTCACATTTTAATGTGCTCGACTGGGTGCCTGTGTTTAAGCACGGTGGGCATCACAATGCTTTTAAATCACTCTCTCCTGCACGTTTGCGCAAAGCTTCGTGCGACTTCGAGTGCCTTCCTTGGGAGGCACCGCAGGCATCGTCGTCTTATTGCCGAACAGATAACAAGGCAGCAGACATCGTGCTGCTCGCAGCAAACATCGCGATTTTCACCTGAAGACGGGCGCTTGTGTTGCGTCCGAAACGTCGCCATTTATTTTGTTTTATTTCTACCTACGTGACTTTACCGAAAGAACCAAAGAGTATGGATTCCTGCAGTCAAGATTGCTTAACAGATTATTTGGCGAAACGGCGGGCGTTGGCAGCAGTGGTGCACAAGCACAAAATTAACAACAATGCACTCAAACGCATGGCCTATTATACAGTGTTTCTCTTTAAAGCAGTGCAATTGACAAATGTGTTGCGTTTTTTCATTAATATATATACACGTTGCAGATCCAGGCAAAAATAAACTTAGGACTGTAAATGGATGTCTAAACAGGCTCTTTAATTTAAACAAAAATGTGCAAATGTAGTTAATCCTACCTGCACTGCTAAATTATGTAAGGAGAAAGCAAATGCGTGATTAGGAAATCAATATACATGTGATCATGAAAGTTCCAGAGAACTATAAAGTATATGAGCAAACAAGCAAAACCCGTATAAAAAAAACTTGAATAATAAACTCAGCAATGGGTAAAGTGCTTTGAGGACTGGTTAAAAGAGGGCTGTTTGCGTGCACCGATTTCTTCAGGTAAGCTGAGCACAGGGCACAGGGCAGTGTGTAGCCACACCATGCCCCCAGCCATTCCTTAGTTTCTCAGTGCAGGTGTCATACAGCGAGTGTTCATTTTATACTCGGTCAACATCGGGGAAGGCCTCGACCGGATTCTATGCTCGGTACGCTTCCAGGAAACCCAGGCCAAGAATAAAACAGCGATTGTAACTTGTATATATTTTATGTATATTTATCTAGTTTTCGTGTTTTGCTTACCTTCCCTATACTTTGCACTCCAATCGTTGTTTTACTGTTTGTTGTTGTAACTTTCTGACCCATCCCTACTGGACACACCTGTGAACAAGAGCTTCAATGCTCATTTGATTTCTCCAGGATAACGATTCTGATTTCTAACGCTGGGCTCAGATAGCCGCAATCGCGCCAGGTGAGAAGGCCCAGGAGTTTAACTCGCATTATGGAGATGTTATTGCTGTGCACTAACTTACCATGCCACCACATTACACACAAAACACACAACAATAAAAAAAATGTATATATCAAAAAGTGGTACCTGTGCTTTTGGTGAAAGGCAGCTACCTTTTGCGTGAGTTCCTCCACTATTCGATCATCCTGAGACCAGGCCTAAGAAAGAGATGTCCATCAGTCTCGCCGACTGTCCCGTACAATGTGACGAGCATGCATGCAGTCGCATCACCTTTAAGCTGAAAATTGTCGCCTCCTATAAGCCATGCCGGGTTGCGACAAACTCACCGCATGGAGGAGAGACCATCACGGTATGAAAGACAAATGGGTTATAACATAACAAAGCTTGAACTAACACAATCTCAACAGACGGCTCAGCAGCGTTGAGTCTGGATAGTGTGCGCCTCGATGGGTGAACACTAAACACAAACAAGTTTGTGTTAATTCTATATTTGAAGCTTTCGTGACTGCAAGGATTCATACTCTTAAGTTTTTTCAGTAAAGTCACGTAGGTAAAAAATAAATACTACAAATACAAATAATAGAAATAATAATAGAAATAAAAAAAAAATAATTATAAATCACTAATAATAATTTTAATTTTTTATTTCTATTATTTGTATTTTTATTATTTATTTTTACCTACGTGACTTTACCGAAAAAACCTAAGAGTAGGTTTGTGCTAGGCTACGTAGCTACGTGGTGAGTGGCAGAGTGCAGTGCGGACACAATCTATTGTTGTACTGCACTTCTAAACCTATGTTACCTCTGCTCCCTACCTTTACCAATGCGCCCTGACCAACGTGGCTTTGGGCTGGATTGTAGATCAACTCGAAGAGCACGAGGCCAAACAAACACCCACCACTGTTCCCCCAGGCTTGAAAAATGTTGTCTATCTACTCCTGTAGATTCGGCGCCTTTGGCAGGCTCACTAAATAAACTGGCACATTGAAGCGGGTGCTTTTTCTGTAAACAGCCCTGGTAGAAAAAAATATTATAATAATTAAAAACAACTCCACTCTTTCATGACACACAAAATTCCTGTGCTACAAACATAAATGCACTTCCGTGGGACTGGCCCACAATGGCAATGGGTGGCTTGCGACAAAAGAAAAAAAATTCCAAGACTTGGTTGAAAAATAACTTAATGAGAAAAGATAAGCTATGTTTATCGCACACCCAGAGATTCACGGCCCACAGTAAAATAGCGAATTAACTTTTCGTTTGGCTCACCAGGGGAAAGAGCACGTAGTCTCGGAGAAAGTCCTGCGATTCACGCTGATCGTGGTCTCCGAAATTTGCTGCAGGCGGGAAACGAAACAAGTTTTACACTTCGGAGATAACCGCGTAAAAAATATGCACATCCCAAAACAGCAATCATTTCCACTAACTGTTCAGAACAAGCGCACGGTAGCATATAGAGAGTCACGTAAAATTGTGCATACATTATTTGCACATTATATGGCGCAACTTCCATTTCAATATTCCTATTTGACAGCGAGGTGAATTACAATATCAATGGGTATGGACGCTGCAAACGGGACACGTGCAGAGCTATCCACAGTTTGTTACGCGTGGCTGTTGTCAATACAATTTGCAGCATTTGGCCTAAAAAAAAAAATAAGCCAACCGCTTGCCCAACAAACGGAAAGCAGGCCTAATCCAGACACTGGACAAAGCAGACCACACAGTAGGCACCCAATTCTTAATCCATTAAAATTGATTCTCATGTTCAAGATACAAGCACCGTGAGTGTAAACATTGACAATTTACAATTTGATAATTGTTTTTTTACCCTTTTATCTGGCAACAAAACGGACACCTTTTTTTACAAGGAGTCATGTTTGCATTGACCACAACACCTGCGGTCGGAATGAAAACAAAAAACACAACTCTGATAATGTATGCACTGTCCTTGAATTTTTTTTTATCATATTTTTCTACTGGCAAAGGAGGTTCCAATGGTGAATTTACAATTTATTAAAATTACGGTGGAAATTCTTATCCGAGGCCCCATTTGTTTAGCGATTGCTTCTACACGTGACTTGCACACAGCTAGAGCACCAGATGCACAAGACATAAAAAATAATACATATTTGTCAATGTTATATTGTGAGTGGGCTTCATCCCACATAGCCACAGAGCCATGTGACAGCTTCCTCCTCCAGCCCTATTCACCTGTAACTTCCAAAATCTAAGGCCCAACCAGATGCGCCAAACATACTACCCACTATTATTGGTGGATGTATAATTGATATTTTAACTTTGCATTTTGGGCACGTCAGTCGAGTGACGATGGCAACGTCGTCGTCGTATTTTGTGGCATTTAACCACAAAAAAACTGCGCAAAATATCAGGAGCCATTTTTACGGTTAGGAGCAAATTATAGTAATCGTCAATAGCCACTCTCCTATAGCAGGATGGACAAGAAGTGTTCCACTGTGTACGCTAAAGGTCAAATGTAGGTTCATGGAGCAAACCAGCCCTACAAATAACACACATTAACAGTACAGATAAGAGAGCAAAATAAAATAACTGTTGAATAAAACGATCGATCCCTAATTAAAATTAATATTCATTAAATTGCAGGACAAGCCTGGGATCACTATACAGCCAATAATAAAAGTCCACTCAAAAAACCAAAAGTCACTAACTTTGCAGATCACTGCAGAAAACTCCACTCACCACCTTCAGACGCACTGCATTTACAAACATTCCCGAGGGAGGGTGCTCCTCCGCATGACAAGTCAGCTGGCATGTAATGATTTCACCGCATGCACATCACGTGATAATCAATTATTGCTCTCACGACACATGGATTAAATCACGTGTATTAGCAATCAATGGCATTACATGTAGGCTCACAGAACGGACACGGCAGAACGAGGCAATGAAAACGCGATGTTACAAACCACACGAGCAAGGCAGACCAAGGCGGACAGTACAAACGAGACGTTGTAAATGCGACGTGCAGTGTAAGAGTGTACATATGGGACCAAAAAATTTAAAACCCCCCAAAGCTTAAAACTAACCGTGACCCCAAACCGTGACAAAATTATGTTTGCTTTCTCCTTATATGGGCACCTCAGTGCCGAGATGTTAACTACCTCGCCTGGTATACAGGAGGAAGTGGGTTCGATCCCAACCCTGACGTCTATATATTTGGAGTTTGCATGTTCTCCCCGTGGTCACGTGGATTTTTCTCCGGGCCCTCCGGTTTTTCCCTCCACATTTAGAATCAACGTCACGCGTTTAGAGTATTTGGCTGCTATACATTTCCATACAATAAGCCACTTTGTCGAGCTATTATTTGGGGCCAGGTTGCTTGTGAAAAAGAGCTGCATAGCTCAGTGGACCTGACCTGGTAAAATAAAAATAGTTGTTGAGAGTTTAGCAATTATTCAAATCGCAAGGGATTCATTGCTACATGGCTATCGTGAGGATATTCACCCTGAACGGAGAGAGCTGCCAGACGGACGCCCTGCTCGAAGGTGCACAGCAGCTGTCCCTCCACCACCGCCTTCTTCAGCTGCAGGTAGTACTGGTACCTGTACAGAGCGAGAGATGCACACGAAGATCATCCATATAGCCTTAAACTCCGATTAACACGGTTGGCTATGTGCAGTGCGAAAGAAGTTCAACATGCGTACAACAGACTATTGGGGCAACCACTGTTCTATATAGCCTCTTGTTACAGCAGCTCTTTTGTCCACTTCAGAAATTGTTTCTTGCTGTGGTTGTCCCAACCTGATGACGGACGCTTGTGTTGTGCCCGAAACGTCGTCATTTATTATTTTATTTCTATTATTATTTATATTATTTTTATTATTTATTTTTACTATATATTTTTACCTACGTGTCTTTACCGAAAAAACCTAAGAGTACTGTTCAGGGACACTTAATGAAGGGCGGCACGGCACGCAAGAGGGTGGGTAGGCAAAACCACGCCCGGCCACCATTGTCTCCCCCAGTGCTTATGCTTAAACACAGCACCCGGTACTCATATGAGGCTGAGTCGACCTAGGGCAGGCCCATGACCGGTTCAAATATTCATCACCAATGTTGTTCCATTTCGGTTCATGGCCTCGAGTCACGAGGTTTGTAGCGCAGTGCCCCAACCGCATCACTACCGCAACACAAACACTCACCCCCCGCTGTGGTCACACGCCGGCGACAGGCGCGCCTGCAAACTTCCTCGACTTTCTCCAACGTCGCCTCGCCTTGTACCAAGTGCTCACTTGTATCACACGCACCATTCCAGCACGTTCATATCCATCTCACGACGCGAAGAACCCCTTCGTGTTTCCCACACAGGAGCGTGCACCGTTGTGCCAGAGAATGATCGCATAATTGTTTTTATTTACTCAGTCATAGAGCACTTTCCCACGCATGCTGCTATGGGATGCTTCTGCTACGAGATAGTCGAACCAACATTGTTCATTTCTCAAAGCTAGAATCGAGTGCAACACCTCCTTTAATGTGATGGGATTTTTTTTATGCAGTCATTATTAACTGGGCCAAGATCATCAAATCATTGAGATTCCTGTGAAATCCAAGGTGGACGCCCGGATTCAAACCCAGATTTTCAGCGGTGTGAGCTCAGTGCTGACCTCCCAGTCACCCTGCCACCTCAAGAAAAAAAATGTCTTGAAGCAAATTGCAACCATAACAATTCTTACAAACGTATATATCCATCTCTGTTTAATGGGGCTCAAGTGTCTTTGCCTATGTGAATGCATGTGTTCGAGGCTTATGCACTGTGTTGACATACAAGTGTAGTGACGTCGGGGATGTCACTGTATGGTGCCGGCCTGAGAGGGCCACGGCACGCGATGCATCCTCATCGCGTACACCCCGTGGGCGGGTGTAGTACCAGCCCGAGCGGGGCTTGGCGCACGCTGGGATAACGCGAGCACCACGCATGACATGTGCTGCGGGCCCCCACAGGGAGGAGTGAGAGAGTGTCAGCCCAGGGGCAGGGTTGCCCCGAGCCATGGCACTCTGGTTGACCCCGCAGACACGTGATCCGGAGTGTCCACAGAGAGGCCCCCATGTGGGGGGGGGGGGCTAGGGGGTGATCACGTGTCCGGGGAAAGCTCTCGAGGGAGCTGGAAGGCTCCAGAAGGGGGCGGGGCCAAGGGTGGAGCGGCCCCATACCGTGGGGGGATATAAGGCGGGTCCCTGAGAGGGACCGATGTCTCTGCATTCTACAAGCTGGAAGCTCAACACCTACAAGCAGGAAGCTCTACAGCTACAAGCTGGAAGCTCTATGTCTCAAGTTGGAAGCTCTACGTCTACAAGCTGGAAGCTTAACACCTACAAGCTGGAAGCTCCACGTCTACAAGCTGGAAGCTCCACGTCTACAAGCTGGAAGCTCTACGTCTACAAGCTGGAAGCTCAACACCTACAAGCTGGAAGCTCTACATCTACAAGCTGGAAGCTCAACACCTACAAGCTGGAAGCCCAACACCTACAAGCTGGAAGCTCAACACCTACAAGCTGGAAGCTCAACACCTACAAGCTGGAAGCTCAACACCTACAAGCTGGAAGCTCAACACCTACAAGCTGGAAGCTCAACACCTACAAGCTGGAAGCTCTACGTCTACAAGCTGGAAGCTCAACACCTACAAGCTGGAAGCTCAACATCTACAAGCTGGAAGCTCAACACCTACAAGCTGGAAGCTCTACGTCTACAAGCTGGAAGCTCCACGTCTACAAGCTGGAAGCTTTACGTCTACAAGCTGGAAGCTCAACACCTACAAGCTGGAAGCTCTACGTCTACAAGCTGGAAGCTCCACGTCCTACAAGCTGGAAGCTCTACGTCTACAAGCTGGAAGCTCAACATCTACAAGCTGGAAGCTCTACGTCTACAAGCTGGAAGCTCAACATCTACAAGCGGGAAGCTCAACACCTACAAGCTGGAAGCTCTACGTCTACAAGCTGGAAGCTCAACATCTACAAGCGGGAAGCTCTACGGCTACAAGCTGGAAGCTCTACGTCTACAAGCTGGAAGCTCTAAGTCCTACGAGGCAACCACGTGGTTGCGGACCCGAGTGAGGGCCCGACCCTTCGTAGCAGTAACTCCTCTGTATAGGGTAGTTAGCTGGGTGGTAATCATCCTAAGCTGTATCTGGCAAAGGGGCAGTTACCCCTTTGTGTTACATGTTACAAATAAATGTGTTGCCTCTAAAAGGAACAACGTCTGTGACTTAGTTGGACCCACAACACAAGCATTAAAACTGTCCTCTGTATATACAGTACTCTATACATCAGGGAAGTGTGGTAAAACCCTAAAAGTGTGCAATGAAGCTTCCCAAAATGCACGCTTGGGATCACACGGAGGCGCTTCTGTGGCCGTCTGGAACGCTCTTCCTTCCGATATTTGGAAGCCACCGGAGCTATGCACTTTTAAATCTAGATTGAAAACTAATTTCTTTAGAACTGCTTTTTTGTTTAGATTGTTGTCCTTCCCCCACACCTCTGATTAGCACGGTCGGCTACGTACGGTGCGAAATAAGTTCAAAGTACGTACACACCAAAGTTAAAGACGTTTAATTGACTTACAAAATTGTAACCGGCCATGGGCAGATCACATTGCTAGATGTGATCGGCCATGGGTGAGAATAACAACAGAGTTGAAGCCCAGGGAGGGCACACCCAAGAGGACATCCGGCATGGAGATAAAGAAATGAAAAACAATCTGAATCAGGTCAGACGGCGAAGCAGAAGGCCTTCACCCAGCAGTGGATTCTTGATGGCCGATGTTCGATCCAAAACAAATAGGTGCACGCTGCATATATTGGCAGTGCAGACGCAAACACAAGAAAAACTTAATTCCATTCTCCCTCCATGCCAACAGCATTCTTTACTAAAAACTTCTACTTCTTTCGTGTGGCTGATGGAGATGCACAGCAACAACTACAATTTCACATTCAGGTGGTCAAGCCAGATAACCCCGTCAGGAGCAGCGGAGTGTATCGGTGTAAAGTCTCCATTGTACACGTGGATCAGGCTTTGCGTCATTATGTTTTACGGGCTGTTCTGGATGACCAGACTTGGACTCTGGAGAGTTTTAAAAAATTCCATTTGTGCATGAGATATCCGCATCTACCATGGTTTGTGCAGATGCTGTTTCGGGTGGACCATGAGCTTCGTGGAAGATCAAAACCAGGGATATTCTGCGTTGGATGCTTCACAATGTTGGCATAAAGCACATGCCAACGTTGTGGGATGTGAACACCAACATTCCACGTTTTGGCTGACAATAAAAAACCCTTATTTCTCCACTAAACTTCATATTGACAATCATCCCGTGTGGCATATATAAGGCATTGGACAAGTACAGTACGGTTTAACATCGCACTTGGAATGTGCACAGGGGGCGTTTGCATATGAAAGTACAAAATCTGATTTCAATAAAAAAAAATCCCTGGGGGCTTCCAAAAAGCTGACGAGAGACTGCCAACCGCAGGTGCCTTTTGCCACATTTTCTCCATGAACACCTTGGGATTTGAAAGAAATTACTGCAGAATTTCTCGTTTTATAGTTTTACGGTTCCTATGCTTTGTGATATCACGCAGAAAGCGTGTGCCAATGTCCTGCATACCTGTCAAAATACATTACGCCCGATATTTGGAATTTCCGGCCACTGGCTGGTTTATGATTAAAAATCAAGTCGGAAAATTGCAAGCAAATAGTCAAGCAAATCGTGGCCAACTACGTTACTCGTACAGTAAACCGAGCAGACAAATCAAGAGTATTTTATTTGCTTGGAAATATTTTCCCTTTTCCTGCTGCAAAATCCACAAATACACCTGTTATCAAATTTCCATTACATTCACACATACAAAACCAAAGATCCCCTATTAAGCCGTAACAGACTCTTGTGGCAAGTGCTGACAGCGAGCACCTATGAAGGTCGGCACGGCGCACGAGGAAGGTGGGTGACCAACAACATCCGGGCTGCCTTGTCTCCGTCGTGGTGATGTTTACGCACCATACTAAGTACTCGTTTGAGGCCGAGTTGGCCTAGGGGAGGCCCAGGACTGGTTAACATAATCTTCACTGATGTTGGTCATGAGCAGGAATCGAGCTTGGGTCGCCGGGCTCGTAGCTCAGTGCACTAACCACTAAACTACCACTCCCCACGTGTGTATAGACACAGATCGCCCGTATAGTTTTATTAGACTGCAGAGGCAAGTTTTGTCAGCGAGCACCTATGAAGGCTGGAACGGAACACGAGGGGGTGGGTGGGGCAGCACCACGCCCGACCGCCTTTGTTTCCCCAGTGGCGATGTTTACACACCGCACTAGGCACTAATTTGAGGCTGAACCGACCTAGGGGAGGTCCAGGACCGGTTCAGATAATCGTCACTTGTGTTGGCCGTGAGCGGGAATCGAACTCGGGTCGCGGGTTCGTAGCGCAGCGCCGCGCTAACCGCTACACTACCACTCCCCCTGGTGTGTATACCCCCTCCCCCCCCCACATACTTATACGGTAATGTTCACGCACTCACACCACGTGATTTTGGAGCTGCTCAGGCGAGATACATCCTGAACAAAGGCAGCCACATGATCCACGCTGTCATGACCTCTTTATTTGCGAGTCTGGATAGCAATGTCACACCGCAGCCACGACATTGTCGACACGACGGGCGCGAGAATTAAACGTATTTTTTTTTTTTTTTACAAATTCAAACACCGGCTTACCTTGCTGCGAGCCAACTGGGGAGCGGCGCTGCCTTGCAGGGTTAACGGAGACCCGCTCCGCGCACGGAGACCGTCGTACCCCGGACGCACGGCCCGTCATCTCACGGCAAGACCCACGACGCCGGCTGTACGTGGGCTCGGCAAAAAACACTGTGGCTTTGAAGCAGAATTTTAATGATTGCCGCTCTTTCCCTTTGTTACGCGACGCGCGCGCGAGAGAAGCAAATGCCACGGTTTCGCAGATCAATGACGCATCGCGATCCTCAAATCGGCAGTGCGGCCACGCTGAGTGTATTTCCGTAAATAGCTCAAGAGGTCTTTTTTTTGTGAGGGGGAAAAGGACTTACTGTGAGGCAGCGTCGCATCATCATCATCATCGCTATCATCATCGCTATCATCATCAGCTATCATTATCATTGTCATCATCAGCTATCATCACTATCATCATCATCGCTATCATCACCATCACTATCATTGCTATCTTCATCGCTATCATCACTACCATCATCGCTATCATCATCATCGCTATCATCATCGTCATCATCAGCTATCATCATCGCTATCATCATCATATCTATCATCATCGCTATCATCATCATCAGCTATCATCACTATCACTGCTATTATCATCATCATCATCGCTATCATCACTATCATCATCGCTGTCATCAATGCTGTCATCATTATCGTCATCATCGTGATCATCACTATCAGCTATCATCATCGCTATCATCATCGTCGTCAGATTATATCATCACTATCATCATCATCACTATCATCATTATCGTCATCATCGATTATATCATTACTATCATCATCGCTATCATCGTGTCAATTTTCTCATGGTTCATCAGCATTTTGTTTAAATGTAACCCCAACCGATTACGTTAATGATACACCACGGTTATTTTCCCAACTGTCATAACGGTGATTATAATTTAAAATAAGACCAACATTGCCACACAGCGTAATTTAACTTGATTTGGAATTACAATGAACGCAAAATAGAATGTATGTTCTAAATTTGTATTATCTCTTGACTTCAAGCTTTCGTGACTGCAGGAATTCATATTCTTTGGGTCTTTCGGTAAAGGTTCAAGAACTTATCTCTCGTGACTTTAAAGAAAGACCCACCGAATTTGAATGATCTCATTCATAGTTGTATAAACCGAAGATACCATTACCAATGTTATAAAAATATATAATCATCACCACACAATACACTATCTGGGTCGCCCGAGGATAACATCAAACGTGGAGAACATTTCAAGATCATTTGTGTATATCTTTTTAAAAACATAAGATTAGAACACCTAATAGTGACGTTTATTTTTTGTCCGCTGAGCTGAGGTGTTCTCAGACATTGTAGCCAACGCACGAGTTATTCCATACGATTTGCCAAACATTTCCAGCTTCAAGAATCTTTCAGATTTCCTTGAATTCCAGACAGGTATCTTTCTCTTCGTGAATAATTACACACATGCATCGGATTGTCTCCGGTTCGACACACACTACCTGGAATTTAATGGAACAAAAAAATCTCACAAATCCAACATCCTCGACAGATTCATTTTGGCATCTGTATTCATTTAATATCTCGGCGAATCAAACGATATGCAAGCGCTCAAGTGCCCGCTTTGAAGAGAACGACCGATTCCTAACACCATCGAAATGCGCACGGATAACGGAGCTAACTAGCAAGTTTAAAAGCCCGAGCAAGAAAGGTGAACTCAATCACGGCTACAGCAAGGCCCCCCCCCCACCATCCCACCAAAGTCTGCAGATGTCACGAGGGTGTGCAGCGGCCTCCGCTGTGCGTAGCGGTGTTGTTGGCAAGACAACGATGCTCTGGTAAGGGGGGGGGGGAATGCCTGGCGAGAGCACAAAGTAAAGCCCACAGCCGTAAATTAGGGCACACACAGAACGGAGGACATCGTGTGTACGTCAGCTCATTGCAACCATCCAACACAAAAAAAGGCCGACGGCCCACGTATAAGCTGTAAAATTGGAAAAAAAACTCGTTTTTTAGGGGAGCTGCTTTTCGTGTCTCGTGCCTTGTCCTTCCCCCGGCACCTCAAATTAGCGCGGTTGGCTACGTACGGTACGAAAGAACGTCAACATACACGCATGCGTAATGCAGACTGCCGGTTAGCAAGCGTCTCATTAAGGCAGGGGTTAAACCAGGTTCATAATTCAGTGCGTTAACCATTGCAGCACCGCTCCAACACAGTAGTAGCACAGCACTGGAACGGTATGGTCAACAACCACGGCTGGATGCCTTTGTCTCCCCCCCCCCAGTGCCGATCCAACCTTTCTAGTCTCTTCCCAATATTCTGCACAGGCCAACGCTTTTTCTGGTGTCGGCATTGCCAAATCTTGAGCGGTGCATTGCGGTGCTGACAAGCACAGTGTTCTGTCGCGCAGAAGCCCCATGATTTCACAAGAAATGACATACCGAACCAAGTACTCATTTGAAGGCTGACTTGACCTGGGAAAGAAAGCCCAAGACCTGTTCAGATGACCACCACTGACATTAGCCGTTGCCAGGAAATTTAACACGGGTCGCCGGGGTTCTGAGCAGAGTAGCGCTAACCACAACACCGGTCGTCAAAACACACGCACGCTTTCGCATGTACGTATTTATTCCCCGCAAAAAAAAAAGGAGGCCGCACATGTTCAAACTATTATTTTACAAACGAGCCAAATTGGACTGGCAGAGACATGAGTACCCGCAGTGGAGGAAGCCTTGCCGAAGGGGTTCAACAATTTTGAGACCGAGAATGAGATGCAGTCAATTATGGATTGAGTCGAGTGTTTTAGCACGTAACCCCCCCCCCCCCCCCACCCTATACGCTGCAACACTGCACGAGAAATGTATCTACTGCTGAAACGCAAGACCCTCAAAAGTTCCCTTGAGAAATACATCATTACTCTTGCAATGCTCTACTTTTACTGGGGGTGTGGTAGAGTGGTGTTGCAGTGATTAGGGCACCAACGCTATAAGCCTGGTAACTTAAGTTCAATTCCCGGCCACAGCTAACATCAGTGGCAAGTGATATCTTAATATGCGAACCAGTCCTGGGCCTCACCACCTTCACCAACTCGCACCGACCAGCATGGTGAAGTATGGTCAAACTCCCATGACTGGCCAGACATGAGGAGGAAGGCTTTCATCCGTCAGTGGATTGACAAATAAACTGGAAAACTATTTATTTTAATTATTTTATTCTAACTTTATTATAAATGACAAATTCTGTCCACCTATTGTAAAAATTTTTTTTTTATAAACTCTTCATTATTCATCGTACACAGAGACACCACTGTTTCTGTAATTAATGCATTTATTTAGAGAAAAAAAATTGGTTGCATTAATATTTAAATGAAAGAGTAAAGTTTTTTTTTGCTGCATGTCCAAATGTTGAGCCGATTATTCTGGTAATGGCCTGGATGCGCTTCCACCAAACTAAACAGGCACTTAATGGCTTAAGCTTTTCACTGCTCCCAGTCGCCACGCCTCATACGCGTATAAAGCTCTTCTTGTTGAGGTAGTTTCCGTTAGCAAGCGCCCACACACTTACACATACACACCTACACAAACACTTCGGTACTTGGCATGCACACACCTACACACATCCACCCACATCGAGACAAAGATTGAACAAAAATTCCCAAAGAGCCTACACATAGAGGCTCTTGAGGCAAGCATACACCCACCCCCACCAGGTAGGCATATGAAGCCAAGTCGACATTTCGTAGGCCCACGACCGGTTCAGATATTCGCCACTGATGTTCGCCATGAGCGGGAATCAAACTCAGATCGCCAGATTCGTAGCCCAGTGTGCTAACCACTACACGGCACAACAGCTGACATTCGCCACTAAGTGACGGTGATGTCACCCCAGTGCTTGTGCCAGACTAGGTGCACTTTGAGACCATGTGACGTGTCGAAGGTTCGCGGGCAGGTCACAGAACAGCCTCAGGTGTTTTGGGTTGAGTGAGATGGCCGACAGATGCATTACCTGGACTCTCTACTGTGCCAACTTGCTGCGCTTTACCCGCTTGGTGCTCCGCTCGTTGTTTTAAGTGTTGCTACTCTACTCTCCGTTGTTGTTGGAGGGCGACTTCCGTATATCTGCCCAGCAGCATCCGTCATGAGCCTCCTACATAGAGGCCGATCTTGATACCGCCGGTACCAGTCATCAGCAAGTCCACTCCACTCCAGATCCTCCTGTACCACATCAGTCCATCTCTTCTCTAGCCAATGCCATGCCCATTTAGCCGCCTCTATCTGGCCAATCAGAAGCTGCTTGGGAATGCGGTGGCTAGGCATGTGAGCTACATGTCCCAACCAATGAAGCCTTGCCTGCCGGAGGAGCTCACTGATGGAACTGTGTCCAGATCTTTCAAGGATCTGCAAGTTCATCACACAATCTAGCCTGGTTAAACGCAGAAGGGATAGAAGTTAGGCCAGCCTGAATGTTTCAAACTGGCACAGATGTTCCTTCAGAGGGGTCCAAGTTTTGTAATCATAGAGGGAGAAGATTACTGTGGCTGAGAAGACCTGGAGCTTTGTATGGAGGGACAGGCCAGGTAGCTTCCACACAGCATTACGCAGCTGATGAAAAGATAATGCCGCTCATTGGATTCGGAATGAGACCTCTGCTGCCCAACCGGAACTTGTTACAAGCACACAGCTCAGGTATGGGAACTCCTTCACTCTCTCCAATACTGCCCCATCACTCATGGAGAGTTGAGAGGGTGGAGTGTTTAATGACAGGCAATAACACCCAGGCAGGTGCTTTGTTTTTGTGAGGCTAATGGTAAGGCCCTACCTTTTAGTGGCACGTTCTAGGTTCCAGTCTCCAACTCTTTCTCAGAGTAAGCAGAAATTACCAGGTTATGAGCATAGATAATATTGTTGATCGTTAGGGACCCATCCCTTGACCGCACTCAGGCATCGATAAACCTCCCATTGTATCTGTACCTTATGGAAATTCTTCTGATGGTACAGCCATGGAATCTTATCGAAAAACGTGGATAAATATTTTTTTATTAAATAATTTAAAGAAAGAAGACATCCATGTCGCACTCCAAGGTGAACATGGAATGGTTCTTGACTCCCGGCCACGCAGCTACACCACACAAAGACATACCCACACACAACTTTCTGGGAACTGCATCTCTCACAACAAATATGTCTTCAGACACCTTAGACCAACTGTGACAAAACCATGAAAGGAATGGAAAAATTTGCACTCTACAAATATCCACAAACATAACAGCAGTCACAGACAGCTGCAAATCTACAAGAAAGCGAGACATCTCATACCATCTCAACGCTGGCAAACATTGCCATTATTTGTAAACCAAAATTATACTTCAGTGGGGATTAAAAACAAAGAACAAACCTTATGTACACCGATGGGATTTGCATTCGGCATTCCAAAATAGCACCGTGGCAATAGCGTGCGTACGGTGGCTGTGCATTCTGTTTCTAGTGAAAATGAAATTATGCGTATTACGATGCCTCCATCAGTTCCGCATCCATTGAAATTGTGGACTTCTCTGCTTGGCGCATAACGTGATGACTTTATTTTCCAGCACAAGAAGAAGAACGCAATTTTGAGAAAAACAAATGAATGCCTGATTTAATGAAATTAAATGTAAACTATGATCAAAAACAAGAAAATCAAATAAGTTCCCCTACACTGTGACAGTGAAAATTAAATATTAAAGCATGTGCCACGAGGCAGGC